CCCAGGTTGCTGGTGCGGCGGCGGCGGCAACACGTGACGTGCACCATGCCGCCGGGGGCCCATCAGATACGAAGCCGCCGCCGCTGCCGCCGCCTGTTCGTGCTGATTGGCTGAAACTTCTGCTTGAGGCGGCGTTGGAAGATGTACGGCGCCGACTGGATCATAGCTCCGCTGCGGCGGCAGCGGCGGCGGCCGCCGCCGCCGTACCGACGGCTATCTTAACTCAAGGGGACGTTACGAAGGCTGACGCTGCAGCCGTGGCCACCGCTGCAGGGACGGCTTGCGCCGCTGCCGCCGCCGCCGCCGCCGTTGTCCCCGCCGCCAGCAGCCTGCTGGCGGCACTGCTGCGACTACTCCCCCACTACATGCCGCCACGCCACTGGTGCATAACCGCCGCCGGGCTTGGGCTGGAGTTGGTGCCGTACATGCCGCCGTCGGGGCTGCTGCTGTGGCTGCGCTCAATCGCCGCCTGGGGCACGCCAAGGCCATTGCCGGTGTCGTGGCACGCCGCCGCCGCCGTCAGCAGCCGTACACAGCTCCAAAACTACACAACAGAGCAGTTATGCGAGCTATCGCTGGCTTTGTCCGCAGCTGGTGCTCGACTGCCCGCCACTTGGGCCGTACACTTCGTTCGCCACTTGGTTTCCAGGCTGCCGTCACCAGCCGGCACAAGACTACCCCCAAATGGTGCCGCAGCGACAATCGGAATACCCGCGTCGAAATCAAACTCAGAAGGAGAGCTTGAGGAGGAGTTGAGGTTACACGAATACAGCAGCGGCAGCCAGGGTAGGGCTAGGGCCCGCCGCCGGAAGCGGCCGCGGTCAGAGGCTACTCGGGTCCGGTATTTGCGTTTCCTGCGTCACCGTGGCGATGGCCGTGGCGGCGGCGGCGGCGGCGGCAGCAGCGGCAGTGGTGGTAGTGGTGGCATCATTGACGGTGTCAGCGTCGTGGCCGGTAGGTACGGCAAGAGGGACCCCGCGGTGCGGCGGCCTGCGACAACGATGCCGTCGTCACGCCACGGCCTTGCATCGCTTCGTGCGGTGGCGGCGGCGCTGGGCGCGTTACCGTACATCGTACCGGATTTGCGCTACTTGGCGGAGTACGAGATCGAGGCGTTGCAGGTGTGGCGCGTAAAGGAGAAGAAAATATGCCGTTACGCGTGTATCAGTAGTATAGTTATAGTACGACAATGAACGACGACATATATCTTATGTTACGTCGTTACCAATACGTCCTTCCAATGATTTTTGTGTTTTTTATCAGATAGATAACGTGCACAAAAATGTGTAGAAAGGACTGTGTTTTGTGTTTCTGCTGCTCGGGGCTTCCAATGCAGGTACTGGCACGCACATTCGGCATTACGGACTCGCTGCCGGTGCCGCCGCCGCCGACGACGTCGGCGTCATCTCTGCCAGCCCTGGGCTCATTGCCATCACCATCTTCGGTACTGTCGACACCACTATCTCTACCATCATCTCCATTGCCGCAGTCTTCAGCGGTAGCGGCAGCGGCGGGAGGAGCGGCGACGGCCAACACAGCAGAAGCAGCAGCAGCAATCGCGCCCACAGCGATACATCCAGCTTGTAGGAGCTGCCAGACCAACACACCGCCTCTTGTTCGCAGAGCTATCGCAGCTACCCCTACACTACCACGTTCTCAAGCAGGTTGTGAGGTTTTGGAACCATGTCCGTTTACAGCGTGGGTCTGTGGCATACCAAGTTTTGCGACAGGAGGTCGCAGAATCCCTCTCCAACCCCGAAGGGCCCGGATGGGGGACACTACTCCTCCGTTTTCTATGTTTTTTGGGGCACGATGTATGGAAAGAGGCCCCGCAAGGGCTACACGAGGTAGACGAACGAGTGGAGTGGCTGATGAACAAGCCAATGCCAGAAGGTGTGATTTCGGAGTTCAAGGACCGATTAATGAGTGGTTGGAAGCATACACGTTTAGATGTCCAGCCTGACGTGTATCCGTCAGACGGCAAACAACCAGGAATTCACATGGCGAAGTATAAGCATTGGATGGGGCTGGCGGCCGAGCAAGCGGGCAGGAAGGAGGTGCTCCCGCACATCACAATGTTTATCCCACGTTCGGCGAATCGCAAGCTTATGCAGTTTAGGCTTTGCTGTTGGGCACTGGCGGCTAACAGAGCGTGTAAGGGACGGCGTTATATACCTAGGGAGGAGCGAGTATGCCCCTGCTGCGGCACTGATAGCCACATCGAGGATGAGAAACACATTTTGCTGGACTGTCCGGTTTACGACGGAATCAGATCTGATATGGGCTTTCCACGCTTCGAACATATGAAGGACGCTATGAAGTGGGAACCTGGACGCCTGGCAAGAATGCTGGAACGTATATGGTCTCACCGCAACTCTATCGTTCCCTTTGGTCGTTAGTATACTTCATTACTTGTTTCGTTGGAAGTGCGAGGTAGGATGGTGCTTATAGGCGATTTGGCAGCCCTTGAGCCCTCGGCTCGTACTAGGGTGGTTTGCAGGTACGGGGAACGCACCCACGACCATGTAACAACAACAACAACAACAAAACATCCAGCTTCAGAATTAGGAGCAGGAGCAGGAACAACACTATCCGCGGCGGCGACGGCGGGTGTGAAGGCGGCGTCCACTGGTCCGCGTGAAGCGGCGGCTGTGAAGCTGCTGCCGGCACTAGAGCTGTGCGAAGTAGATGATCTGACGGAGCAGCAGCAGCAGCAGCAGCAGCAGCAGCAGGATGGATTTCCTGGCAGCTGCGGGCTTCTGGTAGGGAGTCACCGCCGTGTATGCATGTATGTATGCATGTACGTGTGTATGTATGCATGTATGTATGTATGTATGTTGTTACAGGGTGGTTAACTTCGCCAGCGGCCCCCTTTCCCGGGGCAGTCCCTGCTCTCCCCTGCTAGAGGGGCACCCTAATCCGTCACCCCATCCGACTTCAGAATGTATTCGTTGGGTTCGGCAACTCACCACCAGCATCCAACCAAATCTAGCGGATCAACGGCGCCTCAACTTAGTTCCTGGTCAGCTCGCAAGTTGATATTATCACGTCCTACACCGTCCTTAAGATGGGGGGCCAGCTCCCATTTCATCACTCCTTAAACACCCGAGGAGCCGGCAGGCGGATTTGAATCCGGGTCGACTGGGTCGACTGGGAGCAGAAGTCAGGCCTTAATCTCTGCCAGCCGCCTGCCTGCCTGTATGTATGTATGTATGTTTGTTGTTACAGGGTGGTTAACTTCGCCAGCGGCCCCCTTTCCCGAGGCAGTCCCTGCTCTCCCCTGCGCGAGGGGCACCCTAATCCATTCACCCCATCCGATTTCAGAATGTATTCGTTGGGTTCAGCAACTCACCACCAGCATCCAACCAAATCTAGCGTATCAACGGCGCCTCAACTTAGTTCCTGGTCAGCTCGCAAGTTGATATAGTTGTATGTATGCATGCACGTGTGTATGCATGTAGGTCATGGCGTGGGTAATGTGTATTGTTGCTTGACGTTGGTGTAAGTGTGGATGGGATGTGAGACCTGCACGAAAACGAGAAATGAACGAAATGGCGGAGGAGAAAAGACTAGGCAATATGCATGAATTGCATGCGGCGGGCGTCGCGCGCGCACGCTCTGTGAGAGAGCGTGTGTGTTAGCTATTAGCAACTAGATGGGGAAGTGTAGTATACTACATATACAAAGAGCAATACAAGAAACGCTACATGTACGTGTTCGTACTGCCGTACACATTTGCAGTGTCTGTGGCCAGAAAAGGGTCTCTCAGCGACTGGTTCATCCGACGCATTGCCTGCTACCCCCCTTTGATGTTGCTGCCGCTGTTGATTGTGTTGATCGCGTTGGTGATGTCGCCGGCGCCGTTCCCCCGCACCCCCACACCACCATCCCCTGTTGCTGGGCGCCTTCCGCCCCCCCCCAAGCGTACGATAGCGTACGACAGCGTATGGAACCGTGAGAGATTAGATGTATACCATTTGCATGGTAGCGACGGCAATGATGATGATGGCTATGGTAATCTAGCAGCGGCACTATCGCAGCATACGTGCAGCCAGTTCGAGCTGTACAGCATATAAAATATCGTATTTGCCGTCCGGCGTGAACAGCAACGGCGCCGGCATCTGACCCAGTAACCAACGTAACCCCCCGCGGCGCGATGAATGGCCTCGACGACAACTCCATCGCCTTTACCAGCTCCGCCGCCGCCGCTGCCGCCACGGCCGCCACCGTGGCCGCTGGCTTCATCAGCTCCCGTGCCCTCTCCCATGCTCTGCGAAGCTGCGCGAAAGTGTTCAATTCAAATGCGGGCCCCGCTCCCTCCCTTCATGGAGGGAGTGTCGGTACCGCAACATTCACCACGAAGGGTCCAACTGCAGCCGACCGGCCGCCACCAGCGGAAAGAGCCCCACGACGAAAGCCACATTAGGAGGCTGCGGTGGTTGAGGACTTTGCAGTGATGCTGATAGATTTGATGAGTTCTGCGATGATGTGGGTCGGACTCTGGGTCGGGTCGTTTCCTCCATGGCTGGATGGCCTGGATTCTGGGTGTCGTCGGTTTGTTGCAGCCGGTGGCGGTGGCGGTGCTCGCGGCGGTTGGTGTTGCATCTGGTAATCGTCTTCGGTGGCGGCAACCACAGCGCACACGACAGCAGTGTTGACCAGATGGTGACGTGGGTTTTCGAGGGAACCTGCTCAGCCATGTATGACCGGTACGACGTTAATGAAAAGCGCGGTAATGGTACAGAGCAGTTTAGGCGACGACGTTTTTGAGGAGGGTGGCCGGTGACCGGCCGGCGTTGTGAATGTTCGAGTCGAAAGGTAGGTGGGTGGGTGTGTTTTGTGTGCTGAAGGAAACGATTGCTGGAGAGCGATTTCTTTATCCCCCCCATCCCTTCTGGAGCGTATTTCCGCGTGTATATGGCCCTTCCTGTACACGACGGGGTTTGGGGCTCCACCCCTTGCGGCAGAGGGGACTTTTGCGGGTTTTGTAAGGGGGCCAACTCTGTGGTGCCTAACCTAATTGACTTCTTTGTGCTTCATCTACGTGTATGTTTTCTGCGGTTTTCTCTCAGAGCAACGAACGAATGAACACAGTAACCATGCTGCGGTTTCTGCTCGGACCTCCCTGGAGCGTCGCCGAAATGTGTGTCACAACTGCAATTATATCCGAGACTCGTCACCAAAATTGCAAATCATTAGCGTAATTCGGCTATGATTTTTCGAGCCTTCCCAAAAAGCGTGTCACAAAAACGTCGTAGCAGTACGGTACCCTATGTTATGAACATAATTACATCAAGGAAAATGTCTTGTTGTAACGAGTTAGGGGGGCGGTTTTCCAAAACCGAAGAGGGGCTCGGCCTGGTGCAGCCAGTGGATTTTAAACCTTTTCACCGTGGTTACTGTGGGTGTTTTCCTTGGTAACCACCTTACAAAACATCTTCCCAAGCGAATATGCTGAACAGGAGCCCACTATAACCATGCTTGCGAAGATCGTCGATCGTCCGAAGGTCGTTTGGGGCATAGTGAGATCACCTAATGCTGTTTACAGATAAACGGACATTATTGCGTAATTGTGTGTACTAATGCGTGTAGTACATTCGGTGGCCATGGCTTCACTACATACATTTCTTCCTCTCAATCTCTGGCAGCAGTGGCTTCGTGCGCTCGGACATGCAGATAAGCGTTTAAAGTCACAGGCTAGCCCTGAGACTGACTTCTTGTGTCACCGAGCTGGTGGTGATCACTAGTCGCAGGGATTGTAAGACACAGCTGGAATGAAGGGCCGGTAAAACATGAGTCGATGCGGGTGCTCACCACCACTTGCGCAAGGCACAAACGTGTCAGTCTGAGAAACGATCATGAGTAACACCCGGAAGGACTTTAAGACTAGCAGGGTTCAAGACCCACAAAGATTGCGAAGCATGTTCGTCAGCCTGTCGGCCAATCCCAGGTCTCAGACTCAGTATGACTGTCTGCCAATATCGGGTTTCTTGGCGGAATCTATCTGTCGCAGCCAATTCGACACATCTAGTCTCACCGGAACTTTCGGAGTACGGAACACCCGCGGACCTATGGGGCCTATGTTTGGATTTTAGCTATATGTTAAAGATAAAGCCATGATTTCCTATTGAAAAGGTTGCCTTCGCTGCTCCTCAAGTCTCAAGACGATTTCAAGTCTTGCTTTTCGTATAATTTTAGTCCTGCAGAGTATTGTATCGCGTGAGTGTGCCATGGACTGTGACAATATTGTCCGTGATCTAGCGAGGGTGATGGACGTGTTAGACGCGGAAATCGAAACGGTTGAGGGTGCCCTTGAGGCCGTTGCTGGACAGATAGCGACGTGCACAGACAGGGACAGCTTAGCGGACTTGCGCGATGAGGAAGAGCAGCTGCGCGATGAGGAGAAGCAGCTACACGAAGCGAAGAAGGTGCTCTTTAAGCTCATGCTCCGCCACAGTGAGTAGTGTCAGCGCATATTTTGCGCGAGGTTTGCGCAGACCCAGGAGTCAAATTGTTGCATTAAAGTTATAAGTTACACGTTCTGCACAAGTGCGGGGCGCTGGCGTTCACTTGTCATTCTTGTGACGTATGTAGGCGGCAGGAGTTGTCAGACATATTGATCCACAGCGGCTTGCCGAAGAGCATTATTGTAGTCCATCCACGATGTCTCTATCCCTGCATGATAGACCTTCAAGGCCCCTAACCGATTTGTATGGTCATCTGAATACCCCCTCACTGTTAGCAAGCTGTTTGTTCCTTTACTGGGCACTTGAGTCTAATCCCTACTGTTGAGTTACTATTAAGCTGTATATTGAAACCTTGTTTTTTCTTGAGTCTAAGCCGTCTGGTGGCTTTGGTAGCTGCATGCCTTTCTGACTTTTTGCATGCTGAACGGCGAAGTCCACGGCTTCTACCGCAGTGGTTCTGGACGAAGAATGCCACGCGCTTCTTTGGTACACTGCATACCATGCATGGTCATGGTCTTCCGAACAGTTATAGCCAGTTCACATGCTACGTTACGTTAAGACTTTTTGGGAAAAGTGGTCGGTTCGGACATGGTAACGGTACGTTACCGGTAAAGTGGACGAAAAGCCTAAAGTGACCGAGGGGGGTGAATTTCGTCAAACGCTGCCCCCTCGTACCGTTACCTGAATTGCATCGCCAATTTCGCGAGTTATAAGAAACGGCCAAGCCCAGCCGCTTATAAAGACCACAAATTTCACAAATTGTGCGCGCTTTGCACTCCGACCGAATTTCTAGTCACACCGCTGCAGTTTAATATGGAAAATGAACAAGGACAACTCCGCTCGTGTTGCTCGACCGCTCACGACCGCTTACATAGCCAATATGTAACCCATTGTAGTATCAGTGCTGAAGCCACCCGCGAAACGGCAAGTCGGCCGCACTTCCGGCGGCATGGGCCGCGCCGCGTCGGCCCACACGCTCAAACTCTGCCACTGAGCATCGAACATATCTTCAAGGTTATCAAAAATTTCATCCATCGCGACCGCTAGGGCAAAAACGCCATCGCGGCTCGCGCGGGATGCAGTGCCATTGCAGTAGGCAGGGCTGCCAATAACCCTTCCAGAGGTCGGCAAATCGGTTTCTACGGCTGCGGGTGGGCATAATTTCGGTCAATAAACCTTAAAAAAAAATTTGGCGCCTTCCGGCGCCAAAAGAGACAGCATTTCAGGGCTCCACGTTCCGTACACATTGCAGGCCGATCGTTTTACAGGGGGGGAACAAGGGGTCGTTGCAAAGCAAGTTCTTGCGCCATGAAGTTAGCATCGCCCCCGAGCTATTCATCGCCGACCGCATGCGGTTGAAGTGCGGGTCGTGAAGGATATTCTCGACCTTATCGGTGATGTGCGTGTAGAGGTGCATCCTAGTGGAGGACTTGTACTTGGCCATTGCCCCCTTCAATATTGCATCCTCCTTCTTCAAGGACCCGACATACTCAGCTTCACAAAAAGACCCTCGTTGAACTTAAGCCGGTGATGTTTGGTACTTTAAGCCAGTCCATGTATTCACAGATCGTTGGGAAGTGAGTGAAAGGCATGGCTTGGTACAGGACCATGTATGCACCACAAAACAGAGCCAACAAGGGATTGTCGGCAACCTCGGTCATGGCCAGGTGCTTGTCAGTTTGCTGTTGCTGCGGATCTTGCGTGTACTGGTCTACAGCCGCTTTGTGGGAGTAGGAGGCCTCGTGCCGGGTGTAAGCTGAGCGATCCCAGTTCGTGTGGGAAATGGTGGCGTTACTCTCCTTATGTGTGTCACAAAAAAAGCAGATGACCGTCGTCGAGCCCTGGAGTGCATAGGCCCAGCTCTTGAAATCACCACCACAAGCGTCAGTCAGCCAAACAATGTCCTCGTTGGGATTATGAGGCCGCTCAAACCCCGGGGGGACACCAACGGCATCGATCTTGTTGGTGGACTTGGTGCGCTTCCGTTGCGGGTTGGCGGTGGCATTGGGAGTGGCGGGGGGCAGGCGTATTGCCAGCTGCTGTTCGGGAGCGGTGGTGTTGGGGGTGGCAGGCAGGAGAGGTGCTGGCTGCTGAGTGGGACCGGTGGCGGCAGTGTTGGCTTGAGTGCGCCTTTTCTTCTGTGGAGGAAGGGCCACGGTGCTGGCGTTTCTGGAAGTGGGAGGTGGTGGTGCTGGGAAAAGTAGACCTGGAGCTTCACTGGCGCTGCCCGATGGCCCAAGTAACGGCTCTTCCGCCTCAATATATGTTGCTGGGGGATCAGCAGTGGCTTTACGACCGGTCAGCGTGCCGGCCAACGTGCGTTGTCAACCGCTGGAAATTTCTGCACGCGTTTCCTTCGTTCCCCGGCGAGATGCCGCCGACATGCCGCGGTCAGCAGTTAAAAGTATGCTGAATATACAAGCAATATGATGAAGATTATGTATAGGATAGGCCACATGGGACCAATATCTGGTATGCCAAAGTCCACAATTGACCAAGTCAAGTGCTGCGGCAGCTGCAAGTCATCGGTACAGACGCTAGAGATGTAATAATTCATCAGTGATAACCGTCACCGAATTGTGTAGAGGTGGTCGTGACATTCTTTTACAAAGTCAAACACAGAGTTCGAGTCCAGCGTGCGGCCCTACGGGCCGCAATAGAGGCTTCAATCACGTCTTTCGGTCGAATTTTGGTCATTTGGGTCCCGCAGCAGGGGCCTTAAGCCGAATTTCGGCTGCGGGTACTGTGTTACGGACCCGCAGGACCCACCGGATTTGCCGACCTCTGAACCCTTCAATTATATATTGCGATTCTAAGGGGATGTGCTTAAGTTTTGGCCATTGAAAGACATATAATGGAGATGGTTTACACAGCTCGCGCCAACGAACACAACGTCATCGTGTCCCATGTGAACTGGGTGACTTTTTCAGGCCCACTTTTCCAAAAAAGTTTTCACAACGTAACGTAGCATGTGAATCCAGTGTAAGCTGTGTGTTCCTTTAGAATTAGCACACCCCTGCAATTTCGTGACAAATGACCTACCTGCATAATGCACCCTCATTTTTCCTTGATGTGCAGCTGTGACAACTACTGTCCCGCCACCGACAGCCCCGCACAGTCAGCTGTTGGGCTCAATCATGGCCATCCCGATGCTCAGCTACCCGCTGCACAGAGAGCTGGTTGTGCTCGGCGAGCGCTGCATGGATGAGGATTTTGACAGCTACGAGGACCTGCACAGCCTCCTGGAAGCCATGGCATCTGCGCTGGCGCTTACACCGGACGGGCTGCTGAAGGCGGACTGGTTCATCCAGGTAAGAATGCCAGCCAAGGGGTTTAGGGTGTGTGTGTGGGGGTGGGCGAGTTGCCATACTGTGAGATTGACGTGTCTGGCCAGGGGACCCACAGCAGAAGGAAAGGAGGAGGAGGTCAGGAGGCTACAGTCGCAGACAGTGACATGGTCACCTGCGAAACACAGGAGGAATGGTAACAAGGCAGCCAGGAAACTGTTGGCAGTGTGTGCCGCTGGCTAGGGGAAAAGCGGGGTTGCAAGCAGGGTGGCCAATCAGAAAATGAGCAAGCAAGCTTGTGAGATGTTAAAAGGGTGCGTGCAGTAGTCACAGGACTACCGTAGCACTCACGGGTCAACAGTTGTGCTGCTTGTGGTGCCGAACTGAGTGGGTGTTGTGGTGCAGAGGAGCACCTGCTAAGAGCTTTTTCTCTTGTAGAGGGGACCATTAGAGGCACCAGGAGGGCAGTCGAACTGTTGGCGTGTAATGTTGGCAAGAACCGAAAGTCACAGGACGGATTAGCTCCGCCAAGGTCTGAGCTCTTGTCTAAAGATAGAGTAATAAAAACTCTGTCTCTTTGTTAATATATAAATATTAATCATCCAACCCTCCCGAGTATATATAATACTCGTTGCATAGGAGGCTGCAATGACTTCTGTCGTAGAGTGTCCCTGGTTAGACCAAGGTGTATGTTCTGTTAGGGTAGGAACCCTGAAAGAGTGCCAATCCTTAATTAGGAAACACTTATTAATCTCAAGGTGTTCATAGACTGTTCATAGATCAGTCTTAATCAAATCACGCCTTCATTGCTTTGCGATTTGGCTCTGTAACACTACAACACGAACAGACCAAGGGGTTAGAGTGTGAGGCAGCAGTGCAACACCTGTCAAATTCCAGGCACGATGCTTGTTCTAACAGCTGCAGTCATCATGTGGACTGCAGCCAGCCAACAGGGCCAGGCTGCATTACTGCTGGCCTGTACACCCCTGCTTCCCATGCAACTGTGTTGATTATGGTGCTCAATGCTCCATCTACATGCAGGTCCGGGACCACCGCTACAACAGCCTTGGCAGTAAGGCCAAATTTGAGCAGGACTGCGGGGCTCAGCCCGACATGAAGGTTGGGCTTCGCTGGTTCCACGTGCTGCTGTGCAACATCCTCAGACACGCCCCTATCCGGGAGCAGGAGGAGTTCCTGCGGGCCTACCCCTCAGAGTTGGCTGCATTCCACAGCAGTGGTCGCATCAGTGCAGCGCTGACCAAGACATACGAGCCCAGGCGCAGTTGTGGCAGCAGCAGTGGCACCCAGCACGGCAGCAGCAGCCCTAAGGCACTGATTGGGTCGGTAACCCATGGGTTACCCATCGGTTACCCACCTTCAACCCCCCGTAGCCGATTGGTAACCCCCTTGTAAGTTCCTACCCAGCAGGAGGGGTAACACGGGGTAACCCCCTCGTTGCCCTGGACTATGGACATGGGCCTATAGGCTACTCATCTTATTTGCTGCGCACTTCGTGAATTCATTTTTGTACATTTCTGTAAATGTACATGTTACATGTACATGTTGAACCTACAGTATCCTGGTAGCTCGGGAAGCATCGTTTGCCAATATAACTATGTATGTATTCAGTTTTAGCGTTTGTTCCCCCTTTGAGGGCATGAAACTCCCGTGCCGTATTATTGTCCCTAATAAGATTATTCATTCGCATTCATACAGTTCAGGCAGGCGGCTGGCAGAAGTTAAGGCCTGACTTCTGCTCCCAGTCGATCCAGTCGACCCGGGTTCAAATCCGCCTGCCAGCTCCTCGGGTGTTTGAGGAGTGATGAAATGGGAGGTGGCCCCCCATCATATGGACGGTGTAGGACGTGATAATATCAACTTGCGAGCTGACCAGGAACTAAGTTGATGCGCCGTTGATCCGCTAGATTTGGTTGGATGCTGGTGGTGAGTTGCCGAACCCAACTAATACATTCTGAAGTCGGATGGGGTGACGGATTAGGGTGCCCCTCTAGCAGGGGAGAGCAGGGACTGCCCCGGGAAAGGGGGCCGCTGGCGAAGTTAACCACCCTGTAACAACATACATACAGTTCGAAGTGGATTGGGGAATGCAATTTAGCTTGAAATCCATTGTGTCTCTGGCTAGTTCTGAAAAGAAATCAATCATGGATTAACAAGTTTCCCTTTCCCTTCTTCACCGGTCAATCGCAGACGCCTCCGCACCAGGCTCTGCCAGCTGCAGGCTTGTGGCAAACGGCCGCTGAGGGGCGGCTGGACAGCCGGCGGGCCGGGACGGGGTTGGTACGGTCGAGTCTTTTAGCCAAGTAGTGTGGCCTTGGGAGCTCAGAAGGGATAGTGCTTGGTGTAGGGGGAAACTAGTCAGCTGAACCTGCAGGGATCTTCCCGGGTTCAGGAGGTAGCTACCTCTATAGATGTCGCCACATGAGAGTCTGAGAGTCGTTCGAAGTTCTTTGGATAGGTTTATGTGTCATGCGCTTGTTGCCCTGCTAAGGGCATTGGTGGGCAGCACGAGGGGGGTATAGTGGCCGTGGGGCTGGGGTTGTGTTTTTCTGCAGTGTAAGGACCCTTAGCAACTTGTTTCCGCCTTCCCATATCAACCATCCAGGAGAACAGAAATGAAGAGGCCACGCGTACGTTGGTAATTTAATTTATCCCAAAATCCCAGCCCCAAATAACCGTCATAGCTTAGATTTGAACCTGAGTGAAATCCGGAAGAGTTCATTCTCTATGGTATCACTTCAGTAAATATAACTACAGCGGTTGAGGCAAGTCTGGCTACGTTAAGACAGCTATACACCTGACAAGAACCTATTCACGAAATTCTGCAGCTGACTAGCATCTTAAGCTATGAATACGAACGACAAGTAAGGGAGCCTAAGCCTCTATGTTACAAGTTACAAGTTCCGCACACAAGTGCGGCTGTGTCCGTAAAAGCCCGGGGGGCCATGGACGTTGTATTGGTATTGATGCGGGTACACGGGATGTCATCTTCATTCTCCCTCGTCCGCTTCAGGGCGAAGCGCCTCAGCGCGACGTGCCTGACCTCCCAGATTTCCGAGAGGTACCTGGCCAATGCCAGGGGGGGCGCCTCAGTCATAGTGGTGCGCATGCTGGGCCCGTAAGGACTAGGTCACCATCATACTTAGCCCGTATGCTCTTGGAAGCGGGACATGTATCCGAAGGATGATGTAGCTATTGTTTGGAAGCGGCCATCTTCTCCACTGCCGCCTCTAGAAGATCTTCCTTTTCAACCTTATCCCCTTTCAACCTTCTCGCCTGCCGCCTCTATCCCCCGCCGCCTTCATCCCCTGCCGCCTCCTCCCCTGCCACCTCCTTCCCTGCCGCCATCATCCCCCGCCGCCTCCTCCCCTGCCACCTCCTCCCCTGGCACTCCTCGCCTGCCGCCTTCTTCCCCGCCGCCTCCTTCCCCTGCCGCCTTCTTCCCCGCCACCTTCATCCCCTGCCGCCTCCTCCCCTGCCGCCTCCTTCCCCGCCGCCTCTATCCCCTTCCCCCTCCTCCCCTGCCGCCTCCTTCCATCCTCTATTCCTTGCCGCCTTCATCCCCTGCCGCCTTCTTCCCCGCCGCCTTCATCCCCTGCCGCCTTCTTCCCCGCCGCCTTCATCCCCTGCCGCCTCCTCCCCTGCCGCCTCCTCCCCTGGTGCTCCTCACCTGCCGCCTTCTTCCCCGCCGCCTTCTTCCCCTGCCGCCTTCTTCCCCTGCCGCCTCCTTCCCTGCCACCTCTATCCCTTGCCGCCTCCTTCCCTCCCATAATGCGGTATACGGGCATATGCCACATGCCACACGTGTATCGCATGCCAATGGCCCAGTTAGTATGGTCCAGATCCTCGACCCCGAACCCTCTCCATGCATGCATGCATACCAGGCACAGATTCTCACAGACGTGGATATGGTGGCAGGTGGCGGGTGATATGCCAGTGCCTTGCCAGGAGGACCTGCGATCCAGCACGCCTGGGGTGTGGCAGAGCCCAGCAGTCCCACGGCACAACAGTCTCCATGAACCACCATGGTCCATCAGGGTGAACGACTGGCATGCTCGACACCACTGGGCACTGCATGGTCGTGTCAACTGTTGCGGGGAACCAATCCGCCATCAGCACGACACACTCTCGGCCGTCGGGTCCAACATGAGCGATGATGCCCTGCACCCTCCCAAACCACATGGTTGGATCCTCAGGGGCAGGACGAGAGAGAAACCATTTCCAGCTTCCAGCGCCAGCAGGTCAGCCCAGGCCCAGCGGAGGAACTTGGCTGTCGCCTCAATCACACAGTTGGCTGGCCATTCAGCAGCTGCCGGCCTGTACAGGTTGTAAAAACTCTGTAATGAGGCCAGTTGCGAGCCACTGAGTGTGTTGATCCGCTCCACCCGGCCCAGGTAAGCTGGGTGCTCACGGCGGAGAAGAAAGTCCTCAGGCTGCCACATTGTTAGCGGCACAGGGGCTGTTTCGCTGTCAGCTGCTGGGGGTGCTGCAGTTGACACCCTCAGATGCAGCACAACCTCCTTGTCCAACATGTTGAAGAACATGCAGGGCTCCATGTGCACCTTGCTGTGCACCCAACGGCCTAGCTGGCCCCAGATACTCTCCGGCGGGAACATGGATGCCGCAAAAAGGGGCCCTTGGGAGGCAGGAGTGCCAGGAGTGCAGTACAGTGTGTGTGCGGTATCCCACATCTTGACGCACACAGCACATCACATGTCTCACAGTGCATTGAACACGGCATGGCCTACACAATGTGGCACATTCCTTACCGATGTTCTTTATGTTGTTGTTGTTGTTACATGGTCGTGGGTGCATTCCCCGTACCTGCAAACCACCCTAGTACGAGCCGAGGGCTCAAGGGCTGCCAAATCGCCTATAAGCACCATCCTACCTCGCACTTCCAACGAAACAAGTAATGAAGTATACTAACGACCAAAGGGAACGATAGAGTTGCGGTGAGACCATATACGTTCCAGCATTCTTGCCAGGCGTTCAGGTTCCCACTTCATAGCGTCCTTCATATGTTCGAAGCGTGGAAAGCCCATATCAGATCTGATTCCGTCGTAAACCGGACAGTCCAGCAAAATGTGTTTCTCATCCTCGATGTGGCTATCAGTGCCGCAGCAGGGGCATACTCGCTCCTCCCTAGGTATATAACGCCGTCCCTTACACGCTCTGTTAGCCGCCAGTGCCCAACAGCAAAGCCTAAACTGCATAAGCTTGCGATTCGCCGAACGTGGGATAAACATTGTGATGTGCGGGAGCACCTCCTTCCTGCCCGCTTGCTCGGCCGCCAGCCCCATCCAATGCTTATACTTCGCCATGTGAATTCCTGGTTGTTTGCCGTCTGACGGATACACGTCAGGCTGGACATCTAAACGTGTATGCTTCCAACCACTCATTAATCGGTCCTTGAACTCCGAAATCACACCTTCTGGCATTGGCTTGTTCATCAGCCACTCCACTCGTTCGTCTACCTCGTGTAGCCCTTGCGGGGCCTCTTTCCATACATCGTGCCCCAAAAAACATAGAAAACGGAGGAGTAGTGTCCCCCATCCGGGCCCTTCGGGGTTGGAGAGGGATTCTGCGACCTCCTGTCGCAAAACTTGGTATGCCACAGACCCACGCTGTAAACGGACATGGTTCCAAAACCTCACAACCTGCTTGAGAACGTGGTAGTGTAGGGGTAGCTGCGATAGCTCTGCGAACAAGAGGCGGTGTGTTGGTCTGGCAGCTCCTACAATTTGCCGCATGAAAGATATCTGAAGCTGCACTGCCCTGTCCTTTAGGCACGCCTCGAAGGGCCCCTCTGAAAGGTTATTCGCATCACTCCGCTTCCTGAGCCTGTCCGAGACCTCAGCTAGCATAAACGGCCCCCACGCTTGACAACCATACAACAGTATTGCTCGTACCTGCGTATCGAAACACCTCATCCTCACATCTGGGGCGAACAACTTCAGCTTATCTAATTTTGCACTCAACGCGAACATAGCTGCTCTAGCTGTGTCATACAACTGCTGGCGGCAGGCCCAGAACTGCCGTTCCGGCCCATACACTAACCCCAGATATCACGCACTATCCTTAGCCGGTATGGCCTCTCCAGCCAGCCTGAGCTCATCACACGATGCTTGGACAGCACTCCTAATGTTGCTGTCACTCGCAAAAACGAGGCGTTCACATTTCGACACATTTGGGCGCATCCCAAAATCGTCACAGAACATGTCCACAATGTTGAGCAACTCCCCCGATGTTCTTTATGGAATCCACCAGGTGCAACAGGTTGTGCAGCTTTATGTCCATCTCATTCACGGACAGACGAAGCTCGACTAGGCATACAGCCTCCACCACGCGCTGCTCAAGGGCGTCCACCTCACCCCTGCGCAAGCAGCATGACAAAACAGGAAAAGAAAGCAGACAGAGGAGACTAAGCATGGGTCTGGTGGATCGCTGTATGCACACCACATTTTTGGGATACATCTACACAAATTTAAACCTGCCCGTGGTCTCACCCTTCTAACACCTTCTGCCACAAGTCGCCACATGCCTGAAGGAGCCGCAGGTATGCCTCCTGTACAGGCTCAGGAAATCGTGCAGATGTGATGACGTACAAGCCGATGGGACCGGCAAGCAGAAAGTAAGTGTGCGTCTTGGCGGCCTTCCCTGCACCGGTAAGGCGCTGGAGTCTAGACGTGAGAGCCGCTGGTGTCACCCGTACGACTTCCTGCAGTGCGGCCCTGATCCTGGCCAGCTGGGCACCATCTGCATACATTACAGATTAGTGTGTCTCCTGTAAGAATTCCATAGTAGAGCCTATGATGGGGAGGTCCATGTGTAAATTAGTCCACTAGTAGTTATTGCATTAACCCTTAAGTTATTCATCATGCATAATGGGCAAGTCATATGAGTTCCTTACCAGCACGGCCAGGGTTTGGGCCCTTGTTCTGATTGTAGTCAGCCACTGCTTGCCTCAGACGGGTGCTTGCCTTGGCAATGCGGAGGCCCTGCACACCCTTGACCACGACCTCCTTGATGACCCCGCCGAGAGTATGCATGCCATTCATGTTGATCATCGAGCAGGGGTTGAAATACCGCAGGAGGTAAATGGGGCAGGCAAGGCCCACGAGCTAATGTTAAAACCCTGCAGCTGATATGTGTATTACCACCTATAGCTATCCTCCCGGTTTCTGTCGTATGACAGTTATTAAGCATAACCTTAAATTTTGCCATTTCTTTTCCGTGCATGCAAAATAGGTCTGGACTCTAGAGTCCCTGTGGTGGGAGACCTCGGATTAATCAAATATCGGAGTCAGCAACTCGTTTAGTGAGACATGTGTATGGAGCCGTACATCAGATCATAAGTGAACTGAATCTGTTGGCTGGGTCTGATTTCCTTTCTCTTGATATGATGACGTTGGTGTAATTAGCGAGTTTATACACACACCAAGCCTGGGGCCATGGGCGGGCTCTACAACCCTGCAAGGCTTGTGTTGGTGAGGCAATCTTTACAATTGTACACTCAAAGTGTTTGGTGAACATGTATGTATGTTGTTACAGGGTGGTTAACTTCGCCAGCGGCCCCCTTTCCCGGGGCAGTCCCTGCTCTCCCCTGCTAGAGGGGCACCCTAATCCGTCACCCCATCCGACTTCAGAATGTATTCGTTGGGTTCGGCAACTCACCACCAGCATCCAACCAAATCTAGCGGATCAACGGCGCATCAACTTAGTTCCTGGTCAGCTCGCAAGTTGATATTATCACGTCCTACACCGTCCATATGATGGGGGGCCACCTCCCATTTCATCACTCCTCAAACACCCGAGGAGCCGGCAGGCGGATTTGAATCCGGGTCGACTGGGTCGACTGGGAGCAGAAGTCAGGCCTTAACCTCTGCCAGCCGCCTGCCTTAAATGTATGTTTGTATGTGTAGACATGTGAGCTCGATACAGGCATATGCATGGATGGAAGTTTATAGAGAGGCATGCACATATGTATGCACACATAGACAGGCGAAATAGGCATACATGCTCACATAGATGGATGAGACAGCTGTGATAGCATGTGTAGGCAGGTTGGACAGGGACATGCTTACAATCCATTGACGCCAGCATATGACCCGGCATATGGACAAGGAACAATTGTAAGCACTGGTTACCCTGTCTGTTACCCCTCAGTACAATATTACCCCGACCCCTTTGTTACCCCTTGGTAAGGGGTTACCCTGACCCCTTTGTTACCCCTTGGTAAGGGGTTACCCCTACCCCGGGGTTAGGTTACCCACCCCCCTTTGTACATAGCCACATGGGTAACCACTTACCCCTACCCTTACCCCTACCCCTAACCCCTGGGTTATGCTTAAGGGGGGGTTACCCCTCGTTTTATGCCATAGGGCAGTGGTGCCCAGCATGGTGACAGCAGCGGCACCCAGCACGGTGGCAGCAGTGGCGCCCAGTGTGGTGGCAGCAGTGGCACCCGGTGTGGCGGCAGCAGCAGTGAAGGGCGTGGTGTAATGGCAATGGCTGACATATCCACACCTGTGCGCCTGGCCCAGTGGCAGGCTGTAGTCAGCGTGGGCCACTGGTTCACACCACCGGCAGGCATGGGGTGTGGGGCCAGGGAGGGCTGCGGGCAGCCACACTTCGACCACGCCTGCATGTGCAGCACTTGCTCGTTGCACCATCTGCAGCAATAGGGCTGCGGCTACCCTGTTGAGGGTGCCTCTACCTGCCACCACTGACTGCTATGCACCATGTGCAGCTGATAATGGTCCAGGGGGTACCTGGCATCCAGGGAGCACAGGGCAGTGTTGGCGGCTGTAGATCCAGCAGGTGGTGGAGGGGACTACTCTGGGCTGTCAGGGGCAGGCTACTGTTGTATCTTACTAAACCACAACTGGATGGTGGCGTCAGAAGACACCGAATTGGAAGAGTTTCGCCCGCTTAAATAGTGGAGGATGCGGCCATCCCATGAATCGTACAGCCAATTCCGAAAAGGCGCGGTCCAGTCCCGGAATGGCGTACCGTTGATCCATGCTTCCAATCGATGACAGGGCTCCGCGAGCCAGGGACCAGCGTCCCAGTCGTAGCCTGTGCTACGACCCCCGCCCATACTACTGCAAGTATGGACTTCCGCCTGAGGCGGCGTTTACTTGTAGGCATCCATGACAGCTTCCCGCTCGCCGTCTGACCCAGAGGTCGGAGCCATAAAGATCTGACAGAAAAGCGGCAAAATAGGCAGTTGGAATTCAGTTAGTTCCAGCGAACTTGTCCAGTAACCGCGCCAAGCGAGAAAGGAAAAATTAGACAGAAAAATGTATCAGTTTGGGCCCAGATTTAAGAAGCGGAATACAACAACTATCCTCCCTCTAGATGCAGCGTCCTCGATGCATGGCAAGAAACTGGCAGAGCAAAAATCGGGCCAAAAAGCGGGAGTTAAACACTTACCTTTAACCCGCAAATCTTACCTTGCCCGTGCTCGTTGCCGTGCTTCTTCCAGCAGAGGTTTTAGGTCAGGGGTAAAGTTAGCTTCTGGTTCCCAACTGTTGTGCTCAGCCGAGTACCCAGCCCATTTGACAAGATACTCATGCACAGTGCGCTTACGGCGGCGGTTTCTGCCTACTTTTCGGGAACGGTAATCCAGTATCCGTTCAACCTCGTAAAATGTCTGCTTGCCTGAAAGCCAAGTAACTGGTCCTGGCTCCGTGACAGTAGGAGCAGGTTTTGGCTGAAGCGCAGCAGCAGAGTCAGTAGTACGGAAAGGTCGGACTAGAGAGACATGGAATGTGGGATGGATGCGCATGTCAGGTGGTAGTTGCAGCTCGACTGCAGTAGACCCAACCATGCAAACGACAGGAAATGGTCCCACCCAACGAGGTAAAAGCTTACGAGAACCATCCGCTAGGGACCTCAGGTTCTTAGTGCTCAGCATCACCAACTGGCCCTGCGAGAAGGTGATGGCACGTCGGGATTTGTTAAAGTAGTCCGCCGTACGTTGCTGTGCAGCTTCGAGGCAAGATTTAGCGTCAGTCAGTCGGGACACAAAGGACTTGGCAAACGTCTTTGCTGCAGGCAAGTTGACGTCCAACTCCCGCCAAACAGGCAAGGCAGGGTTGTATCCATAATTTTGGAAAAACGGACTTTTGCCAGTCGCGTGATTCACAGCATTATTAACTGCGAATTCAGCAGCAGTTAGATATGTGTCCCAGACAGAAGGCGTACGTCTGGCATAATTGCGCAACATATCGCCAAGAGTGTGATTCGTACGTTCTGTCTGTCCATCAGTCTGTGGGTGATAGGCGGTGCTCAGGTTAACACGCATGCCTAACAGATCACCCAGGGTGCCCCAAAATCTGCTGGCAAATTGCGATCCGCGGTCGGTCACAACGTTCTTGGGGACACCATGCAAACGCACTATGTTGTCAAAGAACAGATGTGCAGTTTGCTCAGCTGTGCAGGATGATACCGTAGGTGCCAGGTGCACCATTTTCGTGAGTCGGTCTACCATGACCAAAACGGCATCGAACCCCCCCTCAGTTTTGGGCAAAGCTACAATAAAGTCCATGGTAACACTTTCCCAAGGGGCGGCCGGCACAGGCAAGGGACACAGGAGGCCGTGGGGCTACCAGACAGGACTTTATTGCGTTGGCACAGCTCACAGTTCTGGACATAGTTCTCAGCGTCCTTAGCCATCCGAGGCCACCAGAATTGACGATGGAGAACCTCGACCAGACGGGTGCAGCCAGGGTGCCCAGCCAGCGGGTCGTCATGAAAACGTGACAAGAGATCATGACGCAGCAAGTCATCATTCGGTATTAAATAATTACAGGAGACGACCAAACATGGGCTGTGGAAGATTGGAATTGGGATCCTTTCAACATGTTCGCCGCGCCTAAGGAGACGCCGAACGTTGCTTGCTGCCAGGCCCTGAAGCGGCGCAAGGTAGACAACACGGCCGCGGCCCAAGGACAGCCCCAACAACAGGCACAGCAAGGCGCATGTTGCCAAGGGCCGAGTGGTAGCATTCGTGCTGGTGGCCAGCCCCCTGCTGCGGCAGCAGCTTGCTGCAGTTTCACGCCCAACCAGACTCAGGCAATGCAGCAGCTGACGGGGCCACTTCAAGCCGCTATGAACAGCCTTGCTCCACAGAAAGCAGTTGTTGAGACTTGCGCAGTGAGCAGCATGTGCCATGGCCCGGGTGCCATGGTCCCGCCTGCGGCTGTTCCCGCAGCCGCACCAGTAGCAGCTACCGGCCCACAAATGCTTAATGTTAATATGGGCATGGCACTGCCGGCTGGCATGGGTTGGGCTGGGCTGGGCGATATGAGCTCTCCAGCTGCATCAGCTGCTGCAGCGGCTATGGCGGCAGCCGTGGACATGCCCGGCTTCTTCACAAGCATGACAGGCGGCACTGGTCGTCCTCTGGCCGGCATGGGCTGGGGTATACAGCCGATGGCCCTGCAGATGCCCAGTATGCCCATGCAGCCTTTCCCAGGTTCACACGCTCAGTGTGCTCCGGCGCTGTCCATGCCGGCATCTGGCTTTCCAACGCCCTCGGGTGTATTCCAGCAGCAGGCCAGCATGGCGCTGCCGCCTTCGTCCGTGCCATCGCCCGCGCTGGGCTCCTCGGGGGAGACCAGCTCGCTGCAGGGTAGCGCTGACAATGCCAAGGCGCTGTGCTGCAGCGGCAACCGCGGCGGCGGCGGCCCTACCTGCAGCGGCGGCAGGCAGCAGGCGGACAGCTCAAATAAGGCTAGCATGCCGCTACCCAATAAGGCCCATCAGACGGGTGCAACTGGCGGCCGTGGCGCCGATGGCGCTATGGTGGGCGGCGACCTTTCGGACTTCGCCATCAGTGACAGTGAGGATGAGGATGAGGTTGGTCGTCGCGGCCCTTTGGGCAATAACCGCGGCAATGGCGCGCACCATCAGCAACACCAGTACCTGGGTGATGTGATTGCCCTGCATGATGTGGGCGATGACAACGGCCTCATGGTTTGTCAGGTGCCCGGCTGCGGCAAGGACTTGTCTGGTTTGAAGGAGTATCACCAGCGGTACCGTATCTGCGATGTGCACATTAAACTGCAGCAGGTGAGGCAGCTGGCTGGGATGGCTGCGGGATTGGGAATTCGGGATCTTCGCGCGGAGGTTCAGCGATTCGTATTTATTTTCTCTGCTATGGTTCCTTTCGCTAGGTGCTCTGTGCTACGAAGTGTTGAGCTGCTTACTTTGTGACGATGGGCCCTGCCCATGTCTCTCGTGCACCCTGGTAATTTCCGCAGGTAATGAAGGACGGTCGCTTGCAGCGCTTCTGCCAGCAGTGCGGTCGCTTCCACGAGTTGACCGCCTTTGATGGCAACCGCAAGAGCTGCCGTGACCAGCTTTCCAAGCACAACGCCCGGCGGCGCCGCCGCGCTCAGGCTGAACAGGCCAAGGGCAAGTCCGCGGCCGTGGACCCATTCGCCGTTGGCGCCGTCGGATGCGGCGCTGCAGCTGCCGCCAACGGCGGCGCTACTGCCTCCTTTGACGGCGATGTCGGCAAGCTGCTGACGTGTCTCATGCAGAACCCTTCGCAGCTCCACGCGCTGCGTCTGCTGCTGGGAGTACCAACGCACCCTGCCTTGCCTGCATCACACCCTGCGCCGGGGTTGGGCTTGGGGGTGGGCCTGGGTTCCGGCAGCCCCGCTGATTCGTCAAGCGATGGCTCGGACCAGGCCCGTACCTATGCCCTGGCCCGGGACATTATGGGTGCCCGCAATGAGTTCGCTCCGGCCTTCGAGAGCGAGCACAGGCTGATCCGCCTGTCCATGAAGCTGTTCAACCGCACGCCAGCCGACCTGCCCTCAGATCTCCGAAACCAGGTCAACAGCTGGCTGGCGTCGGCGCCAGCAGGCATGGAGGCCTCCATTCGGCCGGGCTGCGTGTTTCTGACGGTGCAGATGCTGGTTGACGAAGCGGGCGAGGCGCAGGCGATGGCACCGGGAGCACTTGGCAGTTTGGCACAGCATCTGCTGACGCGTACGGGCTGCCCGTTCTGGCACACTGGCATGTACACGCTGCAGCTGCACGAAGACATTATGCTGGTTCGCGACGGGCGTGTGTCGTGTGACGCAGCGAGTGCCAACGGTGATGGGCGGTTCCCCGTCATTCGACGCCTTGGGCCGCTGGCGGCTGTGGCAGGCCAGCCCGTAACGCTCAAACTGCACGGACAGCACCTGGACGCGCCAAATTGCTTGGTGAGTGTAGGCAAGGGGACGTGGGTGCATAGATGGGCAAAGAGATGAGCAGGCCTCCTAGAGGGGACATGGGTATCCGATATGGATGCTGGAATGCGAATCGAGTGGGTATGTTTCTGTCGTTAGGATTGCCCAATTGAAGTCCTAAGGTTATAACTCGGCTTGGTTGCCTGCACCCTGTACCAGGTCATTGTGCGCTGGGGCGCTCAGCACCTGAAGGCGCACATGCAGCCGCTATCGGCGCACCGAGCCATCGTGCGTCTGCCGCCTTTGCCGGAGCTGTGTGGCCCTGTGTGGGTTGAACTGATGCGTGGCGCCTACCTCAGCCCCGCCAAGCAGATGCTGGTGGCGCGGAATGAGGCGCTGGTGGAGGAAATTAACAAGTGAGGCTGTGAGGATGTCGGGCTTTGCCTGCGGGAAAGATGAAGGGGGATAGGATGTTGCCTTAGCTGGTGACGATGCGAAAGCATTGGTCAAGGCACTTCCATGACGGATGGAGGTTATTGGGTGTCCTTTTGGACTTGGCTTAATATCTTGCTACTTTACACCTCTCCTGTTGAGTACGTTTCGACAAATTTCGGGACGAATAGGATGATTATTAGGCTCTATGTCCTATGCAGCATTTTTTTTGGACGCATCGAAGAATATGGTGCGTGTGCGTGCTTGCTCGCTTTTCCTCAGCAAGGCAAGATTCCGACTCTTATCGTCTTCCGCCTCGTTATGTCCTGCCATGCAGGCTGGATGTCCGCTACGGCCCGCTGAGCCAGGAAACTGTCGAGCTGATGCTGCAGGACATGGCCATCGTGTTGCAGCACATTGCTGGGGAGCAGGGCGCGGGTGCTCAGCTGCCGCATGCTGCCATCGCGCTGAAGGTACGTCATGCCCTCGGCGCTGCGTAAAATTTTGGTTTCAGGTTTCAGGTAGTAGTGATAAGTATTACAGCGCGAGGCCTAGAAAGACCCCAATGCAGGGGGCCATCCGGCCACAACGGACCGCCGTGCGCTGCACTGGGTTGTTCCCCAGCAGGCGGTCGCACATATGGAGTGCTGGTGCAAGCAGACTATTTGCGTAATTTTGGTTTCCGTTTCCTCTTATTGTATCTGCTGCCGAGCACCGCCGCCTGCACCAGCTCCCGACGTGTTCCGCCCCGTTGTGCCAATAAACCCCTCTTCCCCCAGGCACGTCGCCTACTAGCTATCGCCTGCGACATGGGCTGGGCCGCCGTCGCCTCTGCTGTGCTGCCCCTAGCCTGCGCCCGCTGTTCGTGCGCCTCTGAAATGGTGGCAGCAATCCACGCCGCCTCCGTGCCGTCATCGGCCTCGAGTGCCAGCTCGTCTTCGGGCGATAAGCGAGGTCTAACGCTGTTACACCGGGCCGTGCGCAGCGGAAGCATTCCCTTGCTGGCTGGCATGCTGGCCTGGGGTGACAGCCATGGCTACCGATGGCGTGTGGATGCGGCGGGGCCTGCGGGCATCACGCCGCTTCACCTGTCGGCGATGCTGGACGACGCGCGCGTGGGGCTACTGCTTCTGGATCACTGCGGTTGGCCAGCGGCGTTTACGCACCTTAAGTCGGACAACGGCGTCACACCCTTCCACCTGGCGTTCCAAATGGGCCACTACCAGGTACGGTATCAGGCAGGCGCGCACATGCAATCCGAGATTGTGGATCTTTGGCCGCATGTGGGATGCTCCATTGTGACGTGCCATGTGTTGTTTTGTACCTATGCTCATGTGCTGTCCATACAAGCGCTTTCTGGCCTTGCCGGTGTTACGGCGGCACACGTGCGAAGCTCCGAGCTCAGTGCTCGCGCAGTCATGACGCTTACGGTCTGGGTGCTTTGCCTGCGCGCTCACCCGCTGCAGGTTGATAGCCTTATGGCGATCTTGGGCGGCCTGCATCAGATCGACCAGCATGCAGGTGCCAACAATGCCGTGGGAGCCGGTGCGCAACCGGCTGGCCGCCGCAGCCGCTGCGGAGCCAACGCAGCCGCCATGGTGATGGGCTGCAAGGCCGAGGAGAATGAGGATGTTAAACCAGCTCTTCGAGGCCATGGCCACAATAACACTGCTACTGCAGCCAAAAACGGCTGCTGTGCGGAGCTAGACCCGTGTGAAATGTGCCATTGCACATTGCCGCCCCTGCTACTCTCTATCATGGCGTCATGCAACGAGTGTGGCCGCCGGCGAATGTGCATGGAGGCGGAGTGCACGGGTGCAGCGGACAGGTGTGGCGGGTGCTGCTGCGGCACAGCGCGCCCAACGCTGCGCTCGGACTCGGGTGAAGTGTGCAGCTCGCGGCAGCACAGTACTGTCTTCTCCATCACTGCGTTATGCCAAGGCTGCCATGGCAACCGCATCCTGGCGGTGGCGTGATCCATCAAGAGCGTAGGAAGGTTGAGTTCGCTGCATGTCGAAGATGATTGGAGTGATGTCATGGTGGCTTTTTGAAGCCTCGCGCTTCCAAAGGCCATCTAATGATGTGAAACGGTTTTGTGCTTTGCCTGGCATGGAGGATGTACGGGATTGGGTCGGCAATTTTCGAGGATCGAGAGCTAATTGGTGGTTAGGATTAGGGATTAGGGACTGCGTTACCCTGATGCCGGCCATGAGAACTGTAGAGGAGGGCCGGATCGCTTCTGCCGCTTCAGAACTGGGATTTGGGGAAAAAAACCTGTTCTGTAAGCCGATGACACGTGGAGATTCGCAGCTGCACATATAGGTGGATTGAGCCACATAGCTGCGTTTTCGTTTTAATGACAGTTTGGTCTCTGGGCGCTACTTAAGCTAAGAAAGGAAGGCGTGTGCAGCAAGCATAGAGCAACGTTGCTTCAGGGCAGGATGCTGTGGAAGGATGTTTCTAGGCGTGACCACAGCTTTTGGCTCTGCTCAAATGCTCAAATTTGGACATCCCGCCCTCACCTCGCGGGTAGTACAGCCCGTTGTGCTCGATATTCTCGCGCGTCTTTCCACAGGCGCGGCTGTACTTCTGGGGTGCGTAATGGTCTCTCAGGGTGTTTCGTGTGATGCCATCGAGGGTGACGAGTTGAAAATGCGGCATTGGCTGGCGGCTGGATGATTTCATGACCAGGGTCGAGGATGTGGCAGTGGGCTTGGCTGCAGCTGCTGCCGACACGGTTACTGGGGGGCAGCTATAGGCCACGGGCTTTCTTTTCCTTCCGTTCTGTTCTTTAATTACTGGGGGCGAGGTCGGTTGCCGCTCCTGATTAGCTGCGCTGTGCTCTCCTTCGAGTGTTGACCGTGACAAGGTCAATGCATCGCGGGGTGGCGACAGTGAATAGCATAAGGGTTCCTCCTCTGGGCTGGCCCGGCGGTCTGTGATACGACGTTAGTGGGTGCTGGTAACGTTCGGGAGGGGATGACTCTGCTTATTTGCCTGGTCGAGGTCGTGAATGAAGGTTGAAGGGAGTCTGTATATGATGATGTATTCTGCATGCATCATTGCAATGCATGGCATGGACGTTTGGGGAGGCGAAGATGGGCTTTACTAGTACTTGTATGGTATGTTCTTCAAGTACCTTTTTTCCCCTCGCGATTGCGAGGAGGGCGGCAATGGCAATGGATGGCGAAACGGTGATTGGCTGTTTGGAGCGCGGAGGTACGGCCGGTGGCAAGAGACGGAGCTGGTGGCCTCTCCTGTGGCCCTTGTTCGGGGGAATTTGTGGCGCCGCAGATGAATTTGTTGGTAGAAACGGTTGCTGTTGAGCTAAATGTCGTGTCTATAGACAAAGTTAAGACGTCTGATGCACGTGTGTATGTGTGCATGTGTGTGTGTGTGTGTGTGTGTGGCAAATGGCGAACCAAGTCGCGCGGTGTCGCCGCTGTGTGAATCAACACCGTCAAGCTGTCTGGCAGGCAGCGAGTCTGTTAGGGACCCCTGAGTTTTTGCGCATTTCCACTCCTACAATGACCTCTCCAAGAAAAGCTTGTCCCGTTCTGCATCCGGTTGCCCAGTTGATGGTATGGTTGAGACCTCATGGCGATAGAGGACTGGCGAGTGTACGAGCCCTCCGGCTGCGTACATATGTATATGTGTACGTATGTATGCCTGCGTGCGGTTCAGCGGGTCCTGGGCTCTCTCCTTCCCGCGGTCGCAGCAGCACGTACGGCCCCAGCTGGAATGAGCTCGTTGCAGTCCTTGTTGGCTAACGATGTGAAGCGAGTGCTCAAAACCTAAGAAGACAATAGATGGTTTTGGGCAACGCACGTAAAACGGGATTAATCTTTTCTTGCGGCGGGGTCCTTGCACGGCGTTTGTTTGCTGCATGGAGGCTGTTACGTGCCTGTTGGATTTGGTTTGGAGCCTTACGGCTATGAGCTGTGCTGCTTCATGCGCTAGAATAACTTGCGAGTGAAGAAGGCTGGAGCCTCTGCCGCTGCGCGCTAAGCTGTATGATCAGGCTGCATTGGATCAGGGCGCCGGCGCCATGTGTCGCTGCTCTTATTTGTTTATTTGTCGATTTCGACGTGTCGGGACCGGCGATGTAGTAGCGGGGCCATGTGTGCGTTCTTAATAATCAATCAGCTCTCTAGCTCGTTGTCTGTAGCTCGTTTGACAACGGTGGTAATTTCCCCCCTAGGACCTATAATCCGCCCCACCCATCCCCCAGCCCCATCGAGGTTGGCTCCTCTTTCAATCCAATCAGGGAGGTGTGAGTTGAACATGGCGCTATGCGCTGTTTGCTTTGCGCTGATATCTGCGCGACTGCCGCTGGTGTTGCTGCTGCTGCTGATTGTTGTGTTGCCCAGTCCTTTTCCGGCTTGTTTCGGTGTATATGTGTGCTTTTGGCGTGGCCATAATATTGTTGCCGTGTTACCACCGCCTCACGCGGGCCAGGGCTTCCCCGCCATGGTTCGTCTGTTTGTCGTAACGTTGTCGTTGCTTTTGGTGATCTGTTGTGTTTGAACACGAGCAAGTGCAATACACGGCGTTCGCATTTGTAGATTCTTAAAGAGTATTGTATAAGTGAAATAATGGGTCGTCTTATACCAGTGAATGCCCAGACGCACAAATGCATTGTGAACCCTTTCTCCTGTATGTAACCAAATGCCCCCGCTTCGTGCCGTCTTCATAGAAGGGCAAGATCTGGCAGCAGTTTCCGATCCGCAAGGGAATGTAAGCAGCATGATTGACAACAGCTCTATTTACAGCTACTACCACAACAGCTGGATGCTTCATCGCACTATTGGAGATGATTGGATAGGTTCAAACGCTTGGTCGCGCTTAGTGTCGGTGCTTCGTCTTCGTATCTTAGAAATATCGGATCCCGTCCTGATAGGGTACTTTGGCAAACATTTTGGATCACTCATGACAAATTCCGTAAAAAGACAAAGAACGTCCGAAGTCGTGTCCGGAGGCCATTTGTTGTTTGCTGTTCGTCAGTTAGAGTCTAGTGTCCTGTTGACGGTGGCAGCTATCCAATGCATGGTTGCTTACCATCGACTACACTTCCGAGTCACACAAAATCGCAGGATGAGCGTACTGGAGCATGAGGCCTACCCTTATTGGTTGTCTAATCCTATGGCCCCCTACCCTCCTGTAAACACCCTTGAATGTACTTACCCATGCTCCTGCGTAACTCATCCGAGGCCTACACAAATGCTAGAAGCAATCATGCTAATCCTTCACTTATGCGAAAACCTAACGAACAACGGAATACACTACTCCACCTTTCCTTTCTCTTCGGAATTTACAGGCATTAAGCAATACAAATTGTGGATACATTGGTTCGACAATTAGAGTGCCGGCTGATAGGAAACATCCAGGGGCTCATTTTTATCATGCGAAAGCATTTACCTAGATTAGCTCAACTCTGGATTACTTATCCATCGCTTGACATCCCAAATAAGTGAACACTCATGATGACTCCGGGGAATCCGGGGATTCTAAAGTTTCAGTCGCGCACCCAATGATATTGACCACAGGGCGGCTCATGCTTATGTCCTTTCCACCATGCCTTGTTAAAACGTCGTGATAACCACCTGAACACATCGCATGCGCGTAACTGTTGGAGTCTCTGGTGTGCGGTACGGCAATTGTGGTGCCTGTATCTTCACTCCCTTGCCAGCTCCCAAAGCTGTCTTGAAATGTTAGGTGGCTGGCCAGAGCACATTACCAGCTCAGAGGCCTTTAAGCGCACCACTTCCCATGTGAATCCTCTGCCAGCCCGCAAACCCAGCAAGCGTGCCAAGTATGGCGATGTGGCCGAGGTGAACAAGGCTCGCCGACTCGCACGCTCCCCCAAACCTCCGGTGATTCGACCGCGGCCCAAGCGCGCGGCAGAGGTAAGCCCAGCAGCTACAAGCTCCTGTAGGTAGGGTAAGGTCTCCACGGCCATGCGGGATTAATCGTAAGAAGGGGTTGATACGATACCGGAGGTGTAAGGATGTGGGGAGTTGGATTTTCGGATGTTGTGTCCAGGGACGAAGAGCTTCCTTCGCCAGGTGAAAGCTGGAGATGCAAGAGAGGAAATGTCCGCTGAAAAAGTGAAGGGGGTTCTAGATCGCTGTGTCAGCTGCGCTTTGGGGCTCATAGACTCCTTGCTCCTATCTTAAGGCCGTCGTGGGCCAAACCCCGATTGGATGTTGACTTTAATTACCGACAATAGGAAGCCGGGTTCCCTTTTACCCTTGTCCCGGTTTGCCCGTTTGAAACCGACATCAACACCGACAACACAGTACTTTAGGGAGCTGATCCTTGACACGGAGGACGGATGGCTGCAGCAACAGCAGATGCAGCAGCAGCAGCAGCTGGATCAGCAGCAGCTGGATCAGCTGGATCAGCAAAAGCAGCAGCGGCCGCGGCAGGTGAACGCGAACACCAACTCACAAGAAGAAATCGCTACAGACCTAAATCTAAATCCGGATCCAGGGCCGACGCACGATCCAATTCCAGTTGCAAACCCAAATCCAGACCCAACGTCCGTGAAGGAAATTCCGGTTTCGGAGCGTATCGCTGCCCTGTCCTCCTCCTCCTCCTCCTCTTCCTCCTCTTCCACTACCACCAACACTCCGTCCCAGACCTCGTCCTCGCCTTCATTGCCGAGCTCATCGACGTCTAGGCTTCCTGCGCCCAACATCGCCAGCAGCAGCTCCACCACCCTGGAGCCGTCTGGCCCCGCGGGGTTCCGCCGCCGCCGCAAGCTCTTTCTCGACAGCCCCGACGGCCCCCACCCGCGCATGACAGCAAAGATCGTGGCGCGACTGGCGGCCTGCAAGGACTGGCGCAGGCAGCTGGCACACAAGCTACTACCGCGGTATCTGCCGTTGTTCGACCAGCATGCCGCTGCGTACTTTTTCAAGTACGGCAGTGCGACGAGATCTTCGTTCGCAGGGTTGGGACGGGCAACTTCTGTAAGAGAGAGTGGGCGGCGTAGATGGATTGGTGGATGGGCTTCGTGCCGATGGGCCCCGAGAACGGTCCCGGGGGCTGCAACGTCACACCCTATACGAATACGTCACAACCTACGCGTCATCCTATACCCCTGTTTCGATCCACCGCTTACTATTCGCACATTAATGTCGCATCAGTTTCGTGTTTTCTGTACCCCTGACCCCCGAGTCCGGCCCGGTGCACCTCCCACCGCGGTGCCGCCGCCGCCACCATCGCCCCCACTGCCATGACGCGCCCTCTCTCCCCACTGGGTGCTCTGCAGGCATGTACCCAGCTTGCAGCCGCGGGCACCGCCGCTGGTTCCGCCGTCGGTGACGGCTCCTGCCTGGATGGCTGAGCCCAGTGGTGTCGCCGCCAGTCGGGGTGGTGCCGCCGCCTCCGCCGCCTCCGCCGCCTCCGCCGCCACTGCCGCCATCACCGCTAGCAGGGACGCCGCGGGCTTCCGCCGCATGGTGGTGGCGGTGTGCAGCTCACTGCTGCCAAAGATGCCCTCTTTCGGTCCTCGGGCTCTGACGTGCATGATCTCGGGGCTTGGACGCATGGGCATCAGGCAAGTCGACAAGTTCGTTGTCGGTTAGTTATCTATCGGTTGGTAGTTCTTCGTGTCGTGGCAGATACCACCAGACGTCGGCAAACGGGGTATTTCTGGTTTCGGGAACGGGTCTATTTCTGTCTTCCAGTACAATGTCTGTTACAAGGCCGCGAAATGAAAAAGTGTTTTTTGCAATAGTTTGACATTCGTATACGGCGTATGATCCTAGTTCTGCAAGCCGGCCGGCTTCGGGGACCCAATTTCTGCTTTCGGGAGTTTCGGTATGACCCGAAACTCCCGAAGCGTTTGCCGATGTCTGTATACCACGTGCCATGGTCAGCTGGCCCAGCTACTGGTGCTTGAACCACTCTGGGAGCCTTCATTCCTGATTCGATTCACATTCATTTCATCCCTTCATTCCATCTCTTAACAGTGCAAGACATTTGCACATGCACTTATTATTTTTTTCCACCGTCCCTCCACCCACCCTGCCTACTGCCTACATACATACATACATACGGCGTGTTCTTTTGTTGTAATAGACATGGTGCGCGCTCTCCTTATTACCTCTTTACGTCATGCAACAGCCATGGCCCGACGCTGGCCGCATGGGAGGCCCAGAGCGCCGGCCAGATGGGGCTTATGCGGCCTGACCAGCTGGTAGCGTCCCTCGCTGGACTCGCAGCAGTACGGCACACCGCCTCCGCCGCTACTACCGCTACTGCTGCTACCGTCGCTGCCACAGCCACCGCCGGTGCTGGGTCAGGTATCCGGCGGCGTACGGGACAGAGGAGGCGTCAGCGCCAGCGTCAGCGGCGGACGCCACCGCTGCTGCCGCCGCTGGGTGAGGCCTGGCGGCAGGCGGCTCTGGGCGCGGCGCACTCCGCCCTGCCGCGCATGACGGTTGCTGAAATCGGCCAGATGCTGATGGTGGGTCAATACATATACAATTGGAGCAGTTTCGGGTGGGATGTCGCCAATCAACCAACCTTGCATTGCGCCAAATCATTACAAAACTCCACAACACTACATTACACAACACTACATTACACAACACTACATTACACAACACAACATAGCTACATAGCTCAGGTTACGTCATGTTGGCAGTACTCTCAAACCATTAACCTGACCTGCACACGCCGGTCACTACTTCTGATGGTTCCGATAGGCCCTGGCGGCGCTGCGGTTGCGGCCCCCCCTGGAGCTCTTGGACGCCACATGCATCGTCGTGCGGAACGCCGTGGCGGAGGAAGCCGCTCGTCTGGCCCTGGTCCACACCGCCGCTGCTGGCGTTAACGGCGACGTCATCCTTGACGCCACGGATGTCAGCGGCAGTAGCAGTAGCAGTAGCAGCAGCAGTAACAGTAGAAGCGACGGCAGTAGTGGCCGCAGGAAAGGAGTGGAAGATCAATTGTTCCTCTCCGTCATCGCGTCGGCGTTAGAAGAGTCAGCGGCGCGGCGTGCAGCGGCAGCGCACAGGTACGGCATGACGAGCGCTTCCGCTGGGGCCGTCGGAGTCCTGGCGGCGGCAGTATCAGCGGAGGCTGCAGCTGCAGAATCGGGATTAAGTCCTGACGGAAAGAAGTTGCCAAAGGCGAAGTTCGGAAGGGCGGCGGCGGCACCGCCGCCACGAGAGCCACTTTACGGCGCCGACGTTGCCCGTGTGGTGCGAGGCCTTGGAGCTTTGGGTTATGCTCCGTCGCCGGAGTGGATCACCTGGATTTTGAGCAACGTCGCGGCGGTGATTCGCGGTGACGTCGCGCGGTCGCTAGGATGGCGGCGGCGGCAGCAGCAGCAGAAACAGCTGGTACAGCATGTGGTCCCATCGGGAGCCGGCGGAGGCCATACGCTGGTGGCGGCAACGGCAACTCTCTCCGCGGCCGCCGGCGCCGCTGGCAGGCAACACAGCTCGGGCGCGGACGCAGCGGAGCCATGGAGCGGGTCGGCAGCGGCAGCGGCAGCTGGGGCGGCGGCGACGGCAGCGGCAATGGTGGCTCCGCTACCGCCGCCGTACTTTAGCGCGGAGGATATCTCGGTACTTTTGACAGGTCTCGCGGACATGGTGCCCGCGATGATGAAGTCGGGGTCGGCGGAGGGGTCAGCGGAGGTGGGGGGCGATATGTCATCAACAGCGTCGAGTCAACCATCCCAGGTTGCTGCTGCGGCGGCGGCGGCAACACGTGACATGCACCATGCCGCCGGGGGCCCATCAGATACGAAGCCGCCGCCGCTGCCGCCGCCTGTTCGTGCTGATTGGCTGAAACTTCTGCTTGAGGCAGCGTTGGAAGATGTACGGCGCCGACTGGATCATAGCTCCGCTGCGGCGGCAGCGGCGGCGGCCGCCGCCGCCGTACCGACGGCTATCTTAACTCAAGGGGACGTTACGAAGGCTGACGCTGCAGCCGTGGCCACCGCTGCAGGGACGGCTTGCGCCGCTGCCGCCGCCGCCGCCGCCGTTGTCCCCGCCGCCAGCAGCCTGCTGGCGGCACTGCTGCGACTACTCCCCCACTACATGCCGCCACGCCACTGGTGCATAACCGCCGCCGGGCTTGGGCTGGAGTTGGTGCCGTACATGCCGCCGTCAGGGCTGCTGCTGTGGCTGCGCTCAATCGCCGCCTGGGGCACGCCAAGGCCATTGCCGGTGTCGTGGCACGCCGCCGCCGCCGTCAGCAGCCGTACACAGCTCCAAAACTACACAACAGAGCAGTTATGCGAGCTATCGCTGGCTTTGTCCGCAGCTGGTGCTCGACTGCCCGCCACTTGGGCCGTACACTTCGTTCGCCACTTGGTTTCCAGGCTGCCGTCACCAGCCGGCACAAGACTACCCCCAAATGGTGCCGCAGCGACAATCGGAATACCCGCGTCGAAATCAAACTCAGAAGGAGAGCTTGAGGAGGAGTTGAGGTTACACGAATACAGCAGCGGCAGCCAGGGTAGGGCTAGGGCCCGCCGCCGGAAGCGGCCGCGGTCAGAGGCTACTCGGGTCCGGTATTTGCGTTTCCTGCGTCACCGTGGCGATGGCCGTGGCGGCGGCGGCGGCGGCGGCAGCAGCGGCGGTGGTGGTAGTGGTGGCATCGTTGACGGTGTCAGCGTCGTGGCCGGTAGGTACGGGAAGAGGGACCCCGCGGTGCGGCGGCCTGCGACAATGATGCCGTCGCGCCACGGCGTTGCATCGCTTCGTGCGGTGGCGGCGGCGCTGGGCGCGTTACCGTACATCGTACCGGATTTGCGCTACTTGGCGGAGTACGAGATCGAGGCGTTGCAGGTGTGGTGCGTAAAGGAGGAGAAATATGCCGGTACGCGTGTATCAGTTATAGTTATAGTACGACAATGAACGACGACGTATATCTTATGTTACATCGTTACCAATACGTCCTTCCAATGGTTTTTGTGTTTTTTATCAGATAGATAACGTGCACAAAAATGTGTAGAAAGGACTGTGTTTTGTGTTTCTGCTGCTCGGGGCTTTCAATGCAGGTACTGGCACGCACATTCGGCATTACGGCACACTCGCTGTCGGTGCCGCCGCCACCGACGACGACGTCGGCGTCATCTCTGCCAGCCCTGGGCTCATTGCCATCACCATCTTCAGTACTGTCGACGCCACTACCATCATCTCCATTGCCGCAGTCTTCACCGGTAGCGGCAGCGGCGGGAGGAGCGGCGACGGCCAACACAGCAGAAGCAGCAGCAGCAATCGCGCCCACAGCGATACATCCAGCTTCAGAATTAGGAGCAGGAGCAGGAACAACACTATCCGCGGCGGCGACGGCGGGTGTGAAGGCGGCGTCCACTGGTCCGCGTGAAGCGGCGGCTGTGAAGCTGCTGCCGGCACTAGAGCTGTGCGAAGTAGATGATCTGACGGAGCAGCAGCAGCAGCAGCAGCAGCAGCAGCAGGATGGATTTCCTGGCAGCTGCGGGCTTCTGGTAGGGAGTCACCGCCGTGTATGCATGTATGTATGCATGTACGTGTGTATGTATGCATGTATGTATGTATGTATGTTGTTACAGGGTGGTTAACTTCGCCAGCGGCCCCCTTTCCCGGGGCAGTCCCTGCTCTCCCCTGCTAGAGGGGCACCCTAATCCGTCACCCCATCCGACTTCAGAATGTATTCGTTGGGTTCGGCAACTCACCACCAGCATCCAACCAAATCTAGCGGATCAACGGCGCCTCAACTTAGTTCCTGGTCAGCTCGCAAGTTGATATTATCACGTCCTACACCGTCCTTAAGATGGGGGGCCAGCTCCCATTTCATCACTCCTTAAACACCCGAGGAGCCGGCAGGCGGATTTGAATCCGGGTCGACTGGGTCGACTGGGAGCAGAAGTCAGGCCTTAATCTCTGCCAGCCGCCTGCCTGCCTGTATGTATGTATGTATGTTTGTTGTTACAGGGTGGTTAACTTCGCCAGCGGCCCCCTTTCCCGAGGCAGTCCCTGCTCTCCCCTGCGCGAGGGGCACCCTAATCCATTCACCCCATCCGATTTCAGAATGTATTCGTTGGGTTCAGCAACTCACCACCAGTATCCAACCAAATCTAGCGTATCAACGGCGCCTCAACTTAGTTCCTGGTCAGCTCGCAAGTTGATATAGTTGTATGTATGCATGCACGTGTGTATGCATGTAGGTCATGGTGTGGGATGTGTGTATTGTTGCTTGACGTTGGTGTAAGTGTGGATGGGAGGTGAGACCTGCACAAAAACGAGAAATGAACGAAATGGCGGAGGAGAAAAGACTAGGCAATATGCATGAATTGCATGCGGCGGGCGTCGCGCGCGCACGCTGTGTGAGAGAGCGTGTGTGTTAGCTATTAGCAACTAGATGGGGAAGTGTAGTATACTACATATACAAAGAGCAATACAAGAAACGCTACATGTACGTGTTCGTACTGCCGTACACATTTGCAGTGTCTGTGGCCAGAAAAGGGTCTCTCAGCGACTGGTTCATCCGACGCATTGCCTGTTACCCCCCTTTGATGCTGCTGCCGCTGTTGATTATGTTGATCATGTTGGTAATGTCGCCGGCGCCGTTCCCCCGCACCCCCACACCACCATCCCCTGTTGCTGGGCGCCTTCCCCCCCCCCCCCCCAGCGTACGATAGCGTACGACAGCGTATGGAACCGTGAGAGATTAGATGTATACCATTTGCATGGTAGCGACGGCAATGATGATGATGGCTATGGTAATCTAGCAGCGGCACTATCGCAGCATACGTGCAGCCAGTTCGAGCTGTACAGCATATAAAATATCGTATTTGCCGTCCGGCGTGAACAGCAACGGCGCCGGCATCTGACCCAGTAACCAACGTAACCCCCCGCGGCGCGATGAATGGCCTCGACGACAACTCCATCGCCTTTACCAGCTCCGCCGCCGCCGCTGCCGCCACGGCCGCCACCGTGGCCGCTGGCTTCATCAGCTCCCGTGCCCTCTCCCATGCTCTGCGAAGCTGCGCGAAAGTGTTCAATTCAAATGCGGGCCCCGCTCCCTCCCTTCATGGAGGGAGTGTCGGTACCGCAACATTCACCACGAAGGGTCCAACTGCAGCCGACCGGCCGCCACCAGCGGAAAGAGCCCCACGACGAAAGTCACATTAGGAGGCTGCGGTGGTTGAGGACTTTGCAGTGATGCTGATAGATTTGATGAGTTCTGTGATGATGTGGGTCGGACTCTGGGTCGGGTCGTTTCCTCCATGGCTGGATGGCCTGGATTCTGGGTGTCGTCGGTTTGTTGCCGGTGGTGGCGGTGCTCGCGGCGGCGGTTGGTGTTGCATCTTGTAATCGTCTTCGGTGTCGGCAACCACAGCGCACACGACAGCAGTGTTGACCAGATGGTGACGTGGGTTTTCGAGGGAACCTGCTCAGCTATGTATGACCGGTACGACGTTAATGAAAAGCGCGGTAATGGTACAGAGCAGAGTTTAGGCGACGACGTTTTTGAGGAGGGTGGCCGGTGACCGGCCGGCGTTGTGAATGTTCGAGTCGAAAGGTAGGTGGGTGGGTGTGTTTTGTGTGCTGAAGGAAACGATTGCTGGAGAGCGATTTTCTTTATCCCCCCATCCCTTCTGGAGCGTATTTCCGCGTGTATATGGCCCTTCCTGTACACGACGGGGTTTGGGGCTCCTCCCCTTGCGGCAGAGGGGACTTTTGCGGGTTTTGTAAGGGGGCCAACTCTGTGGTGCCTAAACTAATTGACTTCTTTGTGCTTCATCTACGTGTATGTTTTCTGCGGTTCTCTCAGAGCAACGAACGAATGAACACAGTAACCATGCTGCGGTTTCTGCTCGGACCTCCCTGGAGCGTCGCCGAAATGTGTGTCACAACTGCAATTATATCCGAGACTCGTCACCAAAATTGCAAATCATTAGCGTAATTCGGCTATGATTTTTCGAGCTTCCCAAAAAGCGTGTCACAAAAACATCGTAGCAGTACGGTACCCTATGTTATAAACATAATTACATCAAGGAAAATGTCTTGTTGTAACGAGTTAGGGGGGCGGTTTTCCAAAGCCGAAGAGGGGCTCGGCCCGGTGCAGCCAGTGGATTTTTTAACCTTTTCACCGTGGTTATTGTGGGTGTTTTCCTTGGTAACCACCTTACAAAACATCTTCCCAAGCGAATATGCTGAACAGGAGCCCACTATAACCATGCTTGCGAAGATCGTCGATCGTCCGAAGGTCGTTGGGGGCATAGTGAGATCACCTAATGCTGTTTAGAGATAAACGGACGTTATTGCGTAAATGTGTGTACTAATGCGTGTAGTACATTCGGTGGCTATGGCTTCACTACATACATTTCTTCCTCTCGAAGCTCTGGCAGCAGTGGCTTCGTGCGCTCGGACATGCAGATAAGCGTTTAAAGTCACAGGCTAGCCCTGAGACTGACTTCTTGTGTCACCGAGCTGGTGGTGATCACTAGTCGCAGGGATTGTAAGACACAGCTGGAATGAAGGGCCGGTAAAACATGAGTCGATGCGGGTGCTCACCACCACTTGCGCCAGGCACAAACGTGTCAGTCTGAGAAATGATCATGAGTAACACGCGGAAGGGCTTTAAGACTAGCAGGGTTCAAGACCCACAAAGATTGCAAAGCACGTTCGTCAGCCTGTCGGCCAATCCCAGGTCTCAGACTCAGTATGACTGTCTGCCAATATCGGGTTTCTTGGCGGAATCTATCTGTCGCAGCCAATTCGACACATCTAGTCTCACCGGAACTTTCGGAGTACGGAACACCCGCGGACCTATGGGGCCTATGTTTGGATTTTAGCTATATGTTAAAGATAAAGCCATGATTTCCTATTGAAAAGGTTGCCTTCGCGGCTCCTCAAGTCTGAAGACGATTTCAACTCTTGCTTTTCGTATAATTTTAGTCCTGCAGAGTATTGTATCGCGTGAGTGTGCCATGGACTGTGACAATATTGTCCGTGATCTAGGGAGGGTGATGGACGTGTTAAGGGCGGAAATCGACACGGTTGAGGGTGCCCTTGAGGCCGTTGCTGGACAGATAGCGACGTGCACAGACAGGGACAGCTTAGCGGACTTGCGCGATGAGGAAGAGCAGCTGCGCGATGAGGAGAAGCAGCTACACGAAGCGAAGAAGGTGCTCTTTAAGCTCATGCACCGCCACAGTGAGTAGTGTCAGCGCATATTTTGCGCGAGGTTTGCGCAGACCCAGGAGTCAAATTGTTGCATTAAAGTTATAAGTTACACGTTCTGCACAAGTGCGGGGCGCTGGCGTTCACTTGTCATTCTTGTGACGTATGTAGGCGGCAGGATTTGTCAGACATATTGATCCACAGCGGCTTGCCGAAGAGCATTATTGTAGTCCATCCACGATGTCTCTATCCCTGCATGATAGACCTTCAAGGCCCCTAACCGATTTGTATGGTCATCCGAACACCCCCTCACTGTTAGCAAGCTGTTTGTTCCTTTACTGGGCACTTGAGTCTAATCCCTACTATTGAGTTACTATTAAGCTGTATATTGAAACCTTGTTTTTTCTGAGTCTAAGCCGTCTGGTGGCTTTGGTAGCTGCATGCCTTTCTGACTTTTTGCATGCTGAACGGCCAAGTCCACGGCTTCTACCGCAGTGGTTCTATACGAGAATGCCACGCGCTTCTTTGGTACACTGCATACCATGCATGGTCATGGTCTTCCGAACCGTTAGTAAGCTGTGTGTTCCTACAGAATTAGCACACCCCTGCTATTTCGTGACAAATGACCTACCTGCATAATGCACCCTCATTTTTCCTTGATGTGCAGCTGTGGCAACTACTGTCCCGCCACCGGCAGCCCCGCACAGACAGCTGTTGGACTCAATCATGGCCATCCCGTCGCTCAGGTACCCGATGCACAGGGAGCTGGTTGTGCTCGGCGAGCTCTGCATGAACGAGAACTTCGATAGCTTCGAGGACCTGCACAGCCTCCTGGAAGCCATGGCATCTGCGCTGGCGCTTACACCGGACGGGCTGCTGAAGGCGGACTGGTTCATGCAGGTAAGAATGCCAGCCAAGGGGTTTGGGGTGTGAGTGGGGGGTGGGCGAGTTGCCGTACCGTGAGATTGGCGTGTCTGGCCAGGAGACCCACAGCAGAAGGAAAGGAGGAGGAGGTCAGGAGGCTACAGTCGCAGACAGTGACACGGTCACCTGCAAAACACAGGAGGAATGGTAACAAGGCAGCCAGGAAACTGTTGGCAGTGTGTGCCGCTGGCTAGGGGAAAAGCGGGGTTGCAAGCAGGGTGGCCAATCAGAAAATGAGCAAGCAAAGCTTGTGAGATGTTAGAAGGGTGCGTGCAGTAGTCACAGGACTACCGCAGCACTCACGGGTCAACAGTTGTGCTGCTTGTGGTGCCGAACTGAGTGGGTTGTTGTGGTGCAGAGGAGCACCTGCTGCAAACTTTTTCCCTTGTAGAGGGGACCATTAGAGGGGCTACCAACCAGGCACCAGGAGGGCAGTCGAACTGTTGGCATGTAATGTTGGCAAGAACCGAAAGTCACAGGACGGATTCGCTCTGCCAAGGTCTGAGCTCTTGTCTAAAGATAGAGTAATAAAAACTCTGTCTCTTTGTTAATATATAAATATTAATCATCCAACCCAGGCTCCCTCCCGAGTATATATAATACTCGTTGCTTAGGAGGCCGCAACGACTTCTGTTGTAGAGTGTCCCTTCGGACCACCTGACGGCTGGTTAGACCGAGGTGTCTGTTCTGTTAGGGTAGGAACCCTGAAAGAGTGCCAATCCTTAATTAGGAAACACTTATTAATCTCAAGGTGTTTATAGACTGTTCATAGATCAGCCTTAATCAAATCACGCCTTCATCGCTTTGCGATTTGGCTCTGTAACACTACAACACGAACGGACCAAGGGGCCCTATAGCATAAAACGGGGGGTAACCCCCCCTTAAGCGTAACCCAGGGTGTAGGGTTAGGGGTTACCCATGTGGCTATGTACGAAGGGAGGTGGGTAACCTAACCCCGGGGTAGGGGTAACCTCTTACCGAGGGGTAACAAAGGGGTCGGGGTAATACACTACTGATGGGTAACAGACAGGGTAACCCATGTTTACATTCACCTGCGCCTGTCTACACACGCAAACATACATGACCTAAAACTCGCGGACCAGCCAACGGGCGGCAATGTAAGCTTACATTACCTTAAGGTCGGCCAGTAGCTTAAGTGCCCCGTCCCGACCTGCTAATTCCAGCTCTACGCACGACCTATGCAACACTATCCAGAGTCTGCTCGTTTTCAGAGCAGGCTCTCCTAAGGGTGTCGAGGGTCTTGGGCGGGAGATCCGGATGTTTGACCCCGAACACGGTCACACCCGGCGAAGTGTAAGGCGCCCTCAGGATGTCTTGCTAAATGAGGTGCACCATAAGTGCGGGCCTGTGCTGCAGGAAGACAGTCAACACTCTTGTTGTGATGGTCCGTGCGCGCAAACGCTAGAACGCCACCATTTTTGCCGCCATATGCACCAGTATTGCAGCGTGGATTATATGTGTGCATTGTATGTATGGTCAATAGGAACAGTGCTGGCAGTGAATATGATTGACTGAATTCGTGATAGTGGTCATCGCTTATTTTAGCATGTCCATCTAATTAAAAGACCAGCCAAGAGTGTGCACTATATGAGCTTACAAGCTAATTAGCTGTTATTAAGCTTGGTTAGGAGTATCAATGGAGGCAAAGCAGCATGCACATATGTGTACGACCACCCCCCGCCGGTAATATGTCGGCCGATGTAACAAAGCAAAGGCGTAACCCGGGATGCTCAGTTGGGCCTTGCGTCGTTACATTGCCCCCCCTTTAGCAATGGACGTCCACGGCCATTATATCGAGCATTGGAGCCATCCCACCTCACGCATTGTGCGCTGGTTTATCCATTACCCATGATATCGCATTCTGCGATACCTGCTTGTTGTCAGAATCGAACCGCCGACCCGAAGATTTCATCGGAAGTCGTGCAGCCCCGTCTCGATACCATTGTAACAAAGCAAAGGCGTAACCCGGGATGCTCAGTTGGGCCTTGCGTCGTTACATTCGACTGATTGCTTGATGTTTTCACAATGAGAACTACTATTTAACAATGAATGACAACTAAAGGCATCCATTTAGTGACGACCTGTCGTCGACTTGTGTGTGTGCTGCCAGCATTCGCGCCTTCTCCTGTACTCGTCTACAAGCTCTCATTTTACAGCAGCCAAACAGGCCAAGAGATAGGTTCTTATTGCTTATTCCTTGCGTATGTGATGCCAGCATTAGAGACCTTAAGGTTGAAATGGCGAACGATGCTTCCCGAGATACCATGATACTGTAGGTTGCTAACGTTTACATTTTTAAAAGTATCCTTAAAGCGGAATTTACGATGTGGGAAGCATATAAGACGAGTAGCCTATAGCCCCATACATATGTCCATAGTCCAGGGCAACGGAGGGGTTTACCCTGGGGCCATGTTACCCCTCCTGCTGGGTAGGACCTTACAAGGGGGTTACCAATGGGCTACGGGGGGTTGAAGGTGGGTAACCCATGGGTTACTGACCCAATCAGTGCCTTAGGGGGGTTAGAGTGTGAGGCAGCAGTGCAGCACCTGTCAAATTCTCAGGCACGATGCTTGTTCGAACAGCTGCAGTCATCATGTGGACTGCAGCCAGCCAACAGGGCCAGGCTGCAATGCTGCTGGCCTGTACACCCCTGCTTCCCATGCAACTGTGTTGATTATGGTGCTCAATGCTCCATCTACATGCAGGTCCGGGACCACCGCTACAACAGCCTTGGCAGCAAGGCCAAATTTGAGCAGGATTATGGGGCTCAGCATGACATCAAGGTTGGGCTTCGCTGGTTCCACGTGCTGCTGTGCAACATCCTCAGACACGCCCCTTTCCGGGAGCAGGAGGAGTTCCTGCAGGCCTACCCCTCAGAGTTGGCTGCATTCCACAGCAGTGGTCGCATCAGTGCAGCACTGACCAAGACATACGAGCCCAGGCGCAGTTGTGGCAGCAGCAGCAGTGGCACCCAGCACGGCAGCAGCAGCCCTAAGGCACTGATTGGGTCGGTAACCCATGGGTTACCCATCGGTTACCCACCTTCAACCCCCCATAGCCGATTGGTAACCCCCTTGTAAGTTCCTACCCAGCAGGAGGGGTAACACGGCCCCAGGGTAACCCCCTCCGTTGCCCTGGACTATGGACATGGGCCTATAGGCTACTCATCTTATTTGCTGCGCACTTCGTGAATTCATTTTTGTACATTTCTGTAAATGTACATGTTACATGTACATGTTGAACCTACAGTATCCCGGTAGCTCGGGAAGCATCGTTCGCCAATATAACTATGTATGTATTCAGTTTTAGCGTTTGTTCCCGCTTTGAGGGCATGAAACTCCCGTGCCGTTTTATTGTCCCTAATAAGATTATTCATTCGCATTCATACAGTTCGAAGTGGATTGGGGAACGCAATTTAGCTTGAAATCCATTGTGTCTCTGGCTAGTTCTGAAAAGAAATCAATCATGGATTAACAAGTTTCCCTTTCCCTTCTTCGCCGGTCAATCGCAGACGCCTCCGCACCAGGCTCTGCCAGCTGCAGGCTTGTGGCAAACGGCCGCTGAGGGGCGGCTGGACAGCCGGCGGGCCGGGATGGGGTTGGTTCGGTCGAGTCTTTTAGGCTAGTAGCCCTACCAACTCATAGGGGGTCTAACAGCGGCTAACAGGCGTGCCTGTTAGGAAATGTTAGCCTAACAGATTCTCTAACAGTGATGGGGCTGTCAGACGATGTTTGGGCTGGTGGCTGGTGGATCTGGCTTTTAACAACCATGTTGGATAAGTAGAACAGGAGTTGGTGATGTTAGCCATTGTTAAGGATTGTCAGATGTTTTTAGACTGTATTTTAGCTGTCTGGCAGTGTTGATGGATAACCTCATTTAGAACAAATATTCTTAAACGGTTTGTAACGAAATGTCCTGCCTTTTGCCTATTAATTTGGTGAACCATATGACCTCGCTTATTAGCAAGGCACTAATTGACTGGATGAAAATCCAGGCTGCTGTTCCAAAAGCACTACTGCTGCAATGAATTTAGGCATGAAACGAATGGCACTACTTACATGGCTGAAGGTATCCTTGTGCTTCACAGTTTAGCATACGAAGCACTACTGCCTTTGAAAAGCAGTTCAATGCCAATATCTACTTATAGCCACCAGCAGGCCCACAAGGTTGAATGATCTGCATCCTGTCTCATGTGACTGCCAACACAATGTGCTGCACCTAAAGTAGGCCCTGAGCTAGAAGAAAAGATGTCAATGTTCAGATTCAAGATCCTCCCTTCATATCCAGTGACCTGCTCCACATACATCCCGACATTTTGCATGCAAACCCCACCTTCATGCCTGCTGCATACACAACCAAGCAACTGCTGGCCTATGAGTCCACAACATTGTAGCCTCCCTTGCCCTTTCCTGCTCTCCTCAGCCAACCCTTGCCCCCCTTGACCTCTCTTGCTCTCCTCTGCCATCCCTTGCTCTCCTCTGTCCTCCTCTGCCGTCCCTTGTGTTCCTCTGTTCTCCTCTGCCATACCTTGCCCTCCCTTGGCCTCTCCTGCCCTCCTCTGCTGCCCCTTGCTCTCCACTTCCCTCCTCTGCTGTCTCTTGCTCTCCTCTAGAGGAGAACAAAAGAGGAAAGATCTAGAGGAAAGATCTTTCCTCCTCTGCCCTCCCTTGCCCTCCCCTGCCCTCCTCTGCTCTCCTCTGCCCTCCCTTGCCCTCTCCTGCCCTCCCCTGCCCTCCTGTTCCCTCCCTTGCTCTCCTCTGCCCTCCTCTACCATCTCTTGCATTCCCTTGCCGTCCCTTTCCCTCCCTTGCCCTACTCTGCCCACCCTTGCCCTCCCTTGCCCTCTCCTGTCCTCCTCTGCCGTCCCTCTGCCTTCCTCTGCCATAGCTTGCCCTCTCTTGCCCTCCCCTGCCCTCCTGTTCCCTCCCTTGCCCTCCCCTGCCCTCTCTGCCATCCTTTGCTCTCCTCTGCCCTCCCTTGCATTCCCTTGCTCTCCCTTGCCCTGTCCTGCCGTCCTTTGCTCTCTCTTGTCCTCCCCTGCTCTCCTCTGCCATCCCTTGCTCTCCTCTGCCATCCTCTGCCCTTCCTTGCCCTCCCCTGCCATCTCTGCCGTCCCTTGCTCTCCTCTGCACTCCTCTGCCCTCCCTTGCATTCCTTCCCTCTCCTGGTCTCCTCTGCCGTCTCCTGCCCTCCTCTGCCATCATTTGCTCTCCTATGTCCTCCTCTGCCCTCCCTTGCCCTTTTCCGCCCTTCCTGCCATTCCTTGCTCTCATCTGCCCTTCCTTGCCCTCCTGCTATCCTTGTACGGCCTCTTATAAATCCTTAAAATCCTTACAAGGCCCCCGTAACCGGCCTTCGGCCTGTCCGGGGGCGGCCCCATACAGGGGCGCTTCATGCCCCAAAATCCTTACGGGGGCCACCGTAAAGTCCCACGGGCCCTTACAGGGATACCGAAAAAAGGCCAAAAACTTGCAGGCCCCGTACAGGGTGTCGAACCCTGCTCTGCACCAGAGCACCCATCAGTCACTGCGAGTCAGATCTCGACAGGGACACAGCAGTGTGCCATACAGCCAGCACTACAGGTGGTTTTAAAGAAACCAACGGCCTGACCTGACGCTCTGATACCGGCCGCACATCACTTGGTGACAGCAGCCTAACAAACCTGGCCGCCGCCAGGAGGTTGTGAGCCTGGTGCAGTTGTACAGGTACTCAGCCTGATTGGTGAATGTACTTACTGAATGACATATAACCGGCCTCCATGTACAAGCACTGTTCGTATATCTGCAAGAGGGCCTCAGCTGTTTCCACGAAATGCAATTCCGACGCCATTTGAATGCGATGCTCTGCTTGCATGAGGGCCGTCAGCCCACGGCCATTGCATCTGCACACGGCCCAAGCGAGGAGAAATCGTGACACACATGCACCTTTACACACCGGTCGCAGATTTCTCCCAGCTTGCACATGTTCTCCATATCCTAACGTGTGTGTCTCCCCTCCTCAATGCCTGATGTCCGGATTCATCTGAACTGGAAGTCATAGTCGCTGCATTGGACATCCTCCATGCTGGTGCACTTATAATACGTCGTGTCACCCTCCTTAATGGGGAAAATGAAACCATTGCACATGCAGCACTGCACCACATTGTGCTGCTCGCCGCATCACGGGCAGCACGGGCTCCACAGTGACGTGCCATCAGCCGCAGAAGAGTCCAGGTCCGACTCGTTGTAAATTTTGCTCGTCGGCTGGCCGTTTGCCACTGCCGGCGTCGACCCACCTGGTGTGTTGATGACGCTCACACCAAGCATCACACCGCGCCCCCTGCCAGCCAGCTGCCTGTTGCTCGGGCTGATGGCCGCCACGGTGGCGACACTCATGTAGTGTGCTGCCGTGATGAAAGACCGTGTAGCAATTACCAGCGCCATTCCACTGCCCCGTCCATGCGTTGTCCGTGTAGTGTCGCTCGTGGTGCCCTCACCCTGCTGCTGCTGTTGTGGTGGCGACTGAGGGCCCCATCCTGAGAGTCGTTGTGGCTGCTGGCGACGTTGTTGCTGCTGCACGGGACCCGAGGGGTTTGGCTGCGGCCGCTGTCGCACTGCCACTGCTATGATCTCCGCCCTACACACTGGTGCCACCAGCTCCTGTGCGCTGAGCTGGCTGCTGTCGCTGTGGTGGTTCCACCACTGCCGCCCGATCGTCAGCCAGTATGCTGGTTCACGAGAAGATAGAAGCCCGCTGTAGCAGTCGCTCACCTGGCGGGACGACTGGCTTTGTGGAAGCGTAGAGTTGACGGTCCTCACCGAGGCAGGAAGAAGTCCAACCCAGCCGCAAGCACTAGCGTACATAGACGCGTACGAAACAATTAGAGACGGCGGCAGCGGAGTCTTGAACTCCGAACACTTAGTAATGTGATACGTCAGTGTCTGGCCAAAGCACCCCGCCCGGGTAGCTTATATCTCGGCCTACCTGCCGGAGATTCTCTACCACGGTCTTGCCGTACTAGGATAATGTCGGGGGGGCCCGGGGCCCCAGCCCGTTAGGTTCGCTTACGAACAACCGCCATGTTCGATACATGTGATGAAGCTCGTAACATGTACGAAACCTGAGACGAATCGTTAACGAATTAACAGTTATTGTTAAAAGTAATCGTTGAAATATTCTGAGGGATTTGTAGCTTGCTACACCCGCTGTTTCGAAGGCAAGGCAACACATACGGACTCTACCCAGTGTGGCAGCTCTAAGTAGGGAGGCGTTCCACGCTGGTCCACACGCTGCTGCTCCCGTATCATGTTGTTGACATGGGCTTCGCTTAGCACGTGTGAAACAGCGTTCTCGATGTTTCCAACGCCCGAGAGTGGGTGCCAGCCCCGGACACCCCCACAGAAAGATGATGTCTACACCTGGTATGGCTCCCGGGTGTCTGCCACCATCATGTCAGCGATCTTCTTCGCCCGGTTCACGTTGTTGTACTTCATGCTGCTCTCTCCTGTTGGATTTAGTTAGTTGCACGGGAAAAGAGGACCAATTGGTACTTCTTAGATGTTCATGGCGCATATGCATTGCTTTGGTCCTACATATATCACTGCGGTAAGAACAAGGTCTCGTTTGCCCTGCTACTGTGATGACACAGATCCACACCAGTCTGTAACCTACCTCCACTCTCACTGCCAGAGCTGCGCCGCTTCAGGGCAGTGCACTCGTCCTCGGCCTTCACCACGGGGGGCAACGCGTGTGTAGGGAAGCAGCCAGAGGAGCAGGCCGAGCACCAGTAGAACCCCTTCTGCTGCGGTTGTAGGTGGCCATTCTTGTTATATACCTTGATGCCTCCGCTGCGATTGTCCAGGAACTGAATCGGGCTCCAGATGCTGCCGTCTGCCTGGGAAATGTACAGGACAGGTGCCACCCGGTCGCCGCCAAGGAGTTCCACGAGGCGGTTCTGTGTGGGAGAAAAGTCGCACAAACCATATGTTAGCGTGTACGAAGACACGGTCGTCGGTAGCCTCAGGCCCCTCGTCTGTCAGCAGCAACCCTTCCCATTACTCATTGAACATATGTCAGTGTAGCATTCCGTGACAACATATAGACTCACATGGAATCGTTGGCAGAGGTCTTGTGGTTGATCCATTTCGTCACCACCAGCCCCCTTCTTCGCGTCGTGCTGCTGGGCTCTCTGTAGCAGTTGCGCTGCATCTGCCGCGCACAGGACCCCAGTGTCCTTCACCAGCCTGTTGGAAGCTAGGTAGGTGTCATTGGTATAGGCGCCTGAAGGGTATAAGGAGAGAGAACGTGCGGTAATTAATTCTCAGTTTTAGAATGGTGCAGAGGTGCGGATGGATAAGTTTGGCTCTTGCTCTGCCATGCTCTGCACCCCCCCTGCACGCCGCGTCCAGCACACACCTCCGTACAGACTCCAGATGGCCTCAAACGTGCCCAAGCCATGTTGGTCGAGTGCCGCCTCCGCTTTACTGTACTGCTGTGAGCCAGGGAAGATAGTCTGCAGCACGTCTCGCAAAGCTGGCTCCAGTTTGAAGCCGATTTCCCGTGGCCACTGCAATGAAGGAACACGTACGAAACCTGATTCACGCCCATCACAGCAAACTGTGGAACACCGCGAGGATTTCTGATCGGGTGCACCAGTGGTGCACTCCCACGGGAACATATGCTACCGACCCTGTCGGCACACGAGTGGCCGCGTACATGATATAGCATCGACCCAGATATTCTTCACACAAGCCTTCATACCATGTCGTCCAGTTCCGCTTGACCGCCCTCGCCCATGGTGATGTCCGGCGTCGTCATCTGTGGTATTGCCTAACGTCCTTTCGCGAATGACAAACTGAAAAAGTGAGCCCCGCTTTAGCTATTAAGACCCTGATTGTCATCACATGCCTTCTCGTACGATTTGGTACGCCATGGCCACTACATCGCGTTCATGCACGTGCACGTCTATTTGTCAAGTGTGCCTTTGGGTGGCTGTCCAGTCGCTTCTCCGTACGAGTACGGTTTCCAGGCCCTGCGCTGTGCCGACAAGACATCAACCACGTTCACCTTCAAGCGCGGAGAGGAGCTCATACGGAACACAACGTCGCAGCTGGAACTGGAGGCAGTCTCGGAGCTCATCTGGCCATCGGCAAAAAGGGGTGCAGCACGCGGGCAGGCGCGAGCTTTCGAAAGAAGGTACAGTCTGGCATTGAAAACTTGGTGAACATGTGCAGGTGTGCGTCTTTGGTCAAACCGAGTCGCGTGTTGGCACATGCATGCTTGCGCGGTCGTGCGCGTGGGGATGGGCATGGAGACAGGCATTATAGTGGGCATGGTGCAGGTGGGCGTGAAGGTGCGCGCGGGTGCGATAGAGCTCCTAGAGAGAAGACGCACGCGCTGACCCTCTCCTTGTCCCTTCGGGTTTTCACAGGAGTGGGACGAGACGGAAGCCGCGAGCTACTTCCCAGATGCTGATGTGGTGCAGGCCATCATTAGCTTGGGCTTATCGGATGTGAGTTCACAGGCTGATCATGGCGACGGTACTGATTGCAAAATGCAGCAGTTGAGCGGCTCGACGGATTCTTGCACACTGACATGCCATGAAGATTGATTTACTATTGCATTGTTGAATTGGAAAAGGGTTAAAAACATTTCCTTCGAGGTCTGCGAGAGTCTAAACCCACGCCACACCCGCACTCCGCATTCTGTGTGTTCCTTCTTACACACAGGTCCAGGTTGCACTTGGAAAGGATGCAGGGCCAGGGGTGCACCCGCAAACCATATGGCACTTCGTTACACGGAAGGTGTGCGGTGTGCAGTACGACGAAACACACATGCACCTCCTGCGGGATGTGTGCCACCCGAATCCAAGCAGCGCGTCGACATCAGGTGGCACATTGGCGCAGATAGACAGAGCAGGTACGGGTTAGGCCAGGATGGGGGTTGGGGCGGGGCAGGGTGGGGCGCGGCAACACACACTTAATGAGTATTTTCCGGTCTATTCTTTCCAATGGCGGTCCATTTACATGCGTACTCTGTCCACTGTAACAATGTTGCTTGCCGAGCAATCACGTGATAACTTTTCCCGCTCTGCTCTAATGCTTGCGGCCTTGGCCACCAGCCGAGGACGAGGACAGACAGGGCGAGGACGAGGAGCAACATAGTGAAGAGGAGGAGCAGGAGGACGAGGAGGAGGTAGCGGCCAGGGAAACAGAAGAACGGGACATCACCGCTGCGGACTCCGATGCCGGCCTGGTTCTGGCAGGTGGGGCGTCCAGCGGCGATGAGGGGTCAGACAGCGGACAGGAAGCAGCCGCCGCGGACACCAGGGGCGGCCAGGGTGATGTGGGTCCATCCAGTGGGACCGGTGATGGGCGTGCGGGGCCCAGGCGGGCCAGGCGGCCCCACGACCCTATCCTCTCCTCTCTGCACGAATTCTGTCGCTGTGTCAATGCGTGCATTGCACGGCAGGGCAGGGACCGCGTCTCTGGCCGGTTCTTTGGGCAAAATATCCGTGATGCAGTGGCTCGACTGACGAAAGACGAGCAGGACCATTTATCCGACGATGATTATGTTGCAGTGCTAGAGGAGGTGGGCCATCAGCAGGTGGTACGGATTGCCTTGGTGGAGAGGCTGCTGCGTTCTATGGCCACCACCAAAGGCAAGAGTTCGCTCGAGGATGCCTCTCGGCTTGTGAGGAACGATCCTGCAGGAAGACTGGTCTTGCGGGTGCTGCAGCCGGCTGGGCAAGGTATGTATCAACTGTGCCTTTAATGGCAACAGTCTGCTGTGATTTGGGCCACTCACCGCATGCTCGCCACTTTGCTTGACATGTATGGCCACATAGGCACCGCAACTGATTTTTTTATCATATACATAGTATGTGTGACTTGGGAGGCAGCGTGGGTGAGTTTGCGTCCCGAAGCCCATCTCCTTCCGCGTATGATGCGTTTGGCTCAAGTCGCTACAATCCTGCCAACACAGACGGCATGTGTTGAGCGCGGATTTAGCCGGCATCGTATTATTAAGAATCGCCTGACGAACCGGCTAAAGCTGGAAACGGTTGATTCGCTACTTCGTGTGGGCATGTTGGGACCTGCTGCTGATACCGGGGCGAAGCCACTGATTGATCAGGCTGCGGGGATCTACTCGCGTAAGGGTTATACAGGCATTATTCACAAGTTGTTTTCTGACGTTAGCAAAATTAATTTGAATCCATACGGAGAGGATGATAACGAGGAGGTTGCGACGGACCCAGAGATTGAAGTACTGGTACAAGCAACATATGTCTGGGAGATGTGATGTTCGCCAGGATTTTGTCTCTCCGTGCAGCTAAAGTAACATCTTATGACGCAGCGATCGGTTTGATTTCCCGTTGGATCCTGTTTTTAGACGAAGGAAAGAATTTCGAATGAATGTGCCCAAGGGCCTTATGGCCTCCATCCTGACTAAAACAGGATCCAAAAGAAACTCAAAGTGACACAGCTATCGATTTGAATTCCCGTTGGATCCTGTTTTTAGCCAGGATGTACACATTTCTAATGAATGTGGCCCAGGGCCTCATGGCCTCCATCCTGACTAAAACAGGATCCAAAAGAATTTCAAAGTGACACAGCTGTCCATTTGAATTCCCGTTGGATCCTGTTTTTAGCCAGGATGTACACATTTCTAATGAATGTGCCCCAGGGCCTCATGGCCTCCATCCTGACTAAAACAGGTTCCAAAAGAATCAATTTATTAGGAAGTACCGCCCTCCGCGGATATTGAACCTGAGTTGCTGGAATGCAATATGCTAACAGGGGGCTGCAACCTTAGTGCAACAAGATTTCCACATGCAATATGGCTGCACCAAGTATTACATAAATGCTCGGTTTTTGTTGACATAGCGCTAAAGTGGATGTCCCAATGGGGACTCCCTTCGGTTTCCCCCAGCTGGGGACTCCACCGAAGGGAGCCCAAGGGTGATGAAACCCATCGGCTAAAACCCTTTGCGGGTAAGGGCTATGTATTTTGTACCCTAGGACAGCCGGCGGTGGGGTTGCCTATAGCCCATGAATATGCCCTGTAACGGGGGCCCCCATAATGGGACCCCCCATTACAGCCCCCCTTACGGCCCGTAAACTGGACAGGCCCATTAGCGGCTCAAGCCATAACGGGCCCGCCAGCGTTTGTACGGGGGATAAGCGCCTATGGGTCCGTGTATGGGGCTACATGCTCCCATTGGGCAGAAGGGATGGGCGGCCGCGGCGGCCAAGGCGCTTGGCTTTCGCTGAGTGTGCCGTGCCCCCGTGTGTAATGGTTCACGGGAAAATAACATAAATAACGATTTACAGGGCAAAAAAAATGCAAAGTGTCACTTTCCACAGCGTTTTAGCCAAGGACAGTGTCCCTGTAAAGGTTTTGCGGGGTTACGGGGGCCCCCGTAAGGTTTTCGGCCAGTACAGGAGCCTGGTACGGGGGCCCCTCCGTAAGGAAAATTTGGGAGGTACGGGGGATCCCGCAAGTTTCAGGAAAGTCAGTGTCGAACCCTGATACATACCCCACATTAACCGCAGACATGGGCAGTGGCCTGCCTCAATATCTTCTACCGTACAGAATGACACGGAACCCCCAAGATCGCTGGAGCACGGAGCATCTGGTGCAGATCGTCAGCGTGCAGCCTGGACCCGATCGCGCTGATGGCAACCTGGTGGTGCTCGACGACGAAAGCATGCGGGTAAGTGCGTATGGATGGCAATCTGCGTACACTATCTACAACAGGCTACTAGCTACAACGGGCTACTAGCTACAACGGGCCACTGATGGAAGAGTCGACCTTCTGAACCGTGCAGAGACTTCTAATCTCTTCTAGCGTAATGATCCCTCTCGATTTTCTGCATGTGCCTTACAGGAAGTGTGTGAGCACTGTGAGCAGCATGGCTGGCGCCTTGATGGCGACGATGCACTGGCGGACTCGGAGGATGCTGGTAGGCAGGCGCGGCCCAAGAAGGCCGGTCTGGAGAAGCCGTGCAGGCCCCGGCAGCACAAGATAGAGGACCGGGCTCCCACAGAGGCGATCCGGGCTGTGGACGCTGCAGTGGGTGTCCAGCGCGTGTCCATGCACTAAAGCAGCGCAGGGTCACGGACTACACGGACCTGTAGTCCGTGACCACTAGAGGCTGCGTGGTGCGGCGGACTAGAGGCGGATTGCTGCATTAGAGACGGATTGCTGCACTAGAGACGGATTGCTGTGGCTGATTCCCACCTGTAGGCTATCTTATTGGCGCATGCAGACGGGCGAGGGATGACAAACACCGATGCAGTCACATGCATACCTTCACGTGCGTACATAAACTGTTCACAGCTCAGCTACTGCGACACAAAGCGCGCGCTGACATGCACGATGATGTGAAGTGCCTGTCATGCTGCAGCGGCGGCCTCCTCCTCACTAACCTGCAGCCACAAATCGGCTGGCGCCGGCTGGTTACCATCACCCAGCTACTGCAGCAAAAGGTGCACGGCTACCGCCTGCTCGGAGCACCCCTCCTAGCAGCCACCAATCACGCCAACCTTATGGAATTGGGAAAGCTACTTGGGCAGGCTAATGCCCGCTGTGCAGCCCCTATGACTGTGGACTTTTACGGGCAGCCCTGCAATCTGCTCAGCGACGAACCAGAAGTCATCGCCAACTGCATCGGCATTCAAAATACGGACCACACGGTCAGCCGGCTCTGGGAGACCTGCACGGCGTCCATGTCAGGAGACGACCCGCAATACCGGCTTCCCACGGGAACCCTGGTCCTGCCCCTGCTGGGTGAGGCCAGCTTCCCGCTTACCATGCTGAGCATGGGCAATGGAGAACTCAAAACCAGCGGAGGTTGCTTCCTTGATATGGAAGGCACCCACATCCATGCTGCACTCCCGGCTGGCTCACCATATGGCACCAATGTCCAACTTGCGCTTACACCCCTGGATGCAACCAACGCTTACAACCGCCCCATGAGCGCCACGGGCCTTGCAATTGCGGCGGCACGAGGAGGAAACGTGAATGAGACGCTGTGCTCGGCATACCTCTATGAGGAGCGCCGTGACTCTCTGAAGGTTCTCCGGAAGCAGGTCATCCTGGCCATCGCAACTGCCTGCCAGGTCGCACCTCCGAACCCGCTGCGCGCACCCTCGCCCCTGAAGGCTAAGGTGCCGACCCCGATGGGCCCAACGAGAAACGATCTCCTGGCGCTTGATGGGGATGATGAAGACTGGGACGCTGCGCTGCCAAACCTGGGCCGCAATCTGATGGAGGACATGGACCAGGCCGCCATGGAAGTGAGTACATTAGCAAACCCCAACACCTTGAAGGTAGCCACCAATAGCCTAAGAAACAAAGCTTGTGAGCCCCAGTGCCATGACGGCCCCCTAATGGTGCGCCTGGGAAAAACATCAATGCCATCCTGTCCCCCCCAATCTAGCATAAGGAAGAATGTGTCTGCCCCCCTGCCTGCACCCCGCCCCCCTAGGTTTGAACCCTGTGACCCAACAGCCAAGAAGGCGCAGGGCCTCGGCATGCCAGTGGAACCTGGCCAACCAGCCAACGAGAAAATATCTCAGGAGCAGGATGCAGCCACGCTTGGCTACTGTGAAAGGGAACACGGCCGGGATGCCAGCTGGGAGATAGGGAGTGCGAGCCAGAACAACGCCGGCACCATTTGGATGATACCGTTTCGAAAGAGTGACCCCAGTGGCGATGCAGGGCCGCCATGGCACATGCAACCCAAGGACGGCCTGGGCTGCGGCCCCACAGATAAAACAGCAAGAGATGCGTGCAATGTGGGAACTAGGTGTGTCCCCCATGATCTTAAGGGTGAGGACGTGACTTCAGTAGTACACCTGTACGATGATTGGGAATGTGGCCGGATGGCGTGTCGAAAGACAAGACATGCCGGGGTGAATGATGCCCCTGACAGCCGGACAGACACTCAGGGGATATTCTCGGTCAAGGAGATGCGCTGTAGTATAGCTTGGCAATCTGATGTGTGTGACTCGATCAAGGGCTGGATAGGGGGGGAGCACAAGCCGGTATCCTGTGAGGGTCCCCTGCAACCTGCAGGGACGCAGTATGGCTGCAACTCTGAACCTGTTGTAACCCACAACCAAACACTGCCACACCATAGCACTCGTGAAACTGACGGCCGTAGGACCTTGAGAGACAACTGGAAGGCAGGGTGTACAGACAATGCGTACCCAAGCACAGGTTCGGAGAAAGAGGTATGGGGCAACAGGGCAGGCGAGACCTCGTATCAACAGGGCCACTCGAGAATTATACCTCGCAGCATTCAGAAACTCCCGGCGACATCGATTGGGGACGACATTAGTGCACATCCCCCGGGCGGAATTGCGGCATCTACAGCTAGGGTCATCTATGGGCGTCTGTACCGGAGTGCCTGTACAGCCTGGACAGGCACTCGGTACGGGCTTGCCGTGATCGCTCTCATTGTCTGTATGGCTGTAGCGAGCATGGGAGTCCTGTGTACCGTTCGTAAGGTTTACAGAACCACCACTCGCCGAGGTATGAACACGTGGAAAATAATACCTCAGACTAGTAACGCAGTTCAGAGGGTTGCAAAAACGGTCTAATCCCCCAATCCCGGGGGGTGGTAGCGGTCAGCCATCCCCCCATCCTGGCTGGGGTGACCGACTCCCATCTCCCATCTCAGGGGCCCGGTGCTAATCCCATCCCTTGAGACAGGTTTCCCATCCTGCCGGCCTGGGTCCCATCCCCAATCCTATGGTCGGGTTTTCCAATCCCATCCTGCAGCTGTGTTCCCCCAATCCTCATCCTGCCAGCCAGGGTCCCTTCCCAATCCCTTCGACCAGGGCCATCCCCATCCTGCAGCTGTGTTCAGATCCGAAAGGTGTCAGCCAGGGTCCCATCCCCATCCCTTGAGCTGGTGTCACAATCCTTGTCCTGAGATGCCAGCTGCATAACTAATCCTCACGTATACACAGTTGCGGTTAACTTCCCAATCCTGTAACGTGTCTCAACCTGTTTGAGTCGGGTGTAACTCTTAGCCAGGCTGGGCTGGCCATTAGGTATGAAGAATGGACTCTTGTACATTACACATAGGACACCCGTACAACTTCGCAGGAAGGTTTCACAACAGATGCACACCGCTGTGCGGCACTTCAATACGGCACTTCCGCACCACTGTACGACAGCTAAGCTTAACCTCTCAAATTACAGCTCTATAGCGAGTTTCT